CCTGGTAGACTTCTCATCCCATTGTAAACTTTGAAGCACGTTTTTCGTGTCTAGCTCATGTACGTGACACAAAGGCGCTAGTGTCGACGAAACTTTATTTCTATTATTTTAGGGTTAATTTCTTGATTTGTGCTTTACTGTTTGGTTATATAACTAGGGGACAAGTTATTGTTTATGATTAGATCGTATTATTTGGTTAAACGAGGTTTTAAATGGCTGTAATAACGGGAAACAAATTGTAAACAAAACACGACCTCTACATAAACAGTACATGAACTAACAATAAAATTGTCTTCAGCTGTTCCATAAGGATGAGAAATCTAGCTGGTACCTTCAGCTTCTCAACCCAGCATGTTATCCATTAGACCACTGAGGCCGATGGCTCCAACTCGTATCGTTACGGTAATGGTGTTCCCTCAACCAATAGAATGCTCTCATTTTGGCCGTATTAAAAATACTGCAGCTGAAATAAAAATTGTGCGGTTGAACGCCTAACCACGACTGCCAGATCAGCTGAGCTTGGAAGAGGACGGGCATGGGCGGGGGTAGGTGCATTGTTGATAAGCCACTCACGCTCCTGGCCACATCTCGTAGTTGTTCTCGTTCGTTTTTAACAATGTTTAAGTACACCGTAATGACATCCACCGATGGTCGTGAAAGTGGCTCGTCTTCTATTGCCATGAAAAGCTACTCTGCCGTATTTCGTTTCTTCCAATCAGACACCTTGTAAATAATTGCAGACGAACCCCAATCAACAATATGATTGAGGAAACGAAATACGACAGAGTCGTTTTTCACTCAGTGTAGTGGGGTCTTGCTTCACTGATCTTGCACTTGCATCCACTCACGAACCCGTTCATGCTAAAAGACGACGACGTTCACACAAAAGAAACCGATTTTTATTGCTGCTACCAAAGATTACACATGCTACGCAAAGATTTGTGAGTACAGTAGCATGTGTAATCTTTGCTGCTACGAATTGGAGTGACTGTGGAACTATTTTTAATGGCTATAGGAGAAGAAATTTGCGAATCGTATATTGGATAAACAATATACAATATTATTCTTTATTAACATTAGTATCTTTGGATTTTGATTTTATATAGATAAGCAAAGTATTTTTTTTTTATTCTTCCAATGACATAGCCAAAATAACGGAACATTAAATTCAAGAGCAACTGGTGGCCAACTTGTGTGAGACTCTTGAATTGACCTGTCTACACACTATATTACCTCATCTACATTGTTGGACACAGACCTGGTATTGTTTGTCACACTTTTTCAGGTAGGACCTATATATGTTTCTGTTACATATTTTTTCGATGAACTCTCCAGGGTAAAACAGTCCACATAGACACAGTTTTAATTTAGTAATAATTGCATCCTTGTGTAATGCTATGACATACTGTAAAATTTAAAAATATTTTTTTAAACTTATAATGAAATGTTTATATCATTAAGGATTTAAAATTTGTTTCTAAGTGACATTTAAGATTTTTTATTAAGAGCCTCACGCCCCACATCCAAAAATATTTATAAAAATACACGTAGGGAGGTCTTTTAGAAAAACAATTTAATATTTTGTTGTATAGTGGACTAAGATGATTGCATAATGACATGGCAATGACTGGAGTTTTGTGTATATAAATCTAGTCTAGTGTACTTAATTGTCATTTGGCTGTAAACATTAATTTGTTTAAAAATATATAGGCCAAAGCCAGGGGAAAATATTTTGAAACTAGGTACTTAATAGCAATAGCTATACAAATTATTAAAAGACAACATCTTCTTACATAAAAATATGTGACTGTGGTTGGTATAGTAGAATAACAAACTACTCAAGGCTATTAATATCTTATCAAAATGAAAGATTTTAATTACTGTTATTGAGATTTGAATACAGATGGTCCTACTACTTGCCTTTTTCTTTGCTTTTCTAGTGCATATAGAAATGAGTAGTGGTTGTACTTCTGGTAAGATTCCATTTTTCATTGTTATTCAATCCTATTTTCCTTTATTTGAAATGATATTCTTAAGTATTTTTTTTTTAGCTTTTCCGCCAGGTGAGCCACTATTTACAATGTCCTCAATTATTTGGCAATAAAGTATAATTTTTTTCTCAAAGTACTAACGATCTAAAACAGTGTTTAAATTCATAAATTACTAAAATCTTATATTACTAATTACTTGACAGAAACTTATCATCATATGTTTATTTTTTATCTCAACTACTTTGATTTTGATTTTAATGGTGCAAGTGACAGCTAATATAATTGAAAATTCGTAAACTTAATTTAATTGGATATCATTCTTTTTGTCTATGATATTAGGTAAAAATTAAAAATGTATCATTAGCTAATCCATCTTTCTCTTTCTATTATATTATTAAAGTGATACAATCAAATTTTATACAAAACGGTTAAGATAATTTACCGAATAAAAATATAGGCATATGGCACATCAAAATGAAGCTAAGAATGTGTATATTTGCCGAAAAGTATTTTATATTTACGAACTTCCAAAGGGCTCTGCCCCACACGCTGATTTCCGAAGGGCTACGCCTGGCATGCTTCCAATGTTTAAATTATTTAATTAGTTAATGAACCAGCTGGTCAGTACAATTAACTGGTGTTTGTTTATTTACTCGAAAAAGAGGTTTGTGATGCTTTATGTAGATTGATGAGGGTTATGTTTGGTTTGAAAGTGAGGTTGTATACGTTTTGTAAAGTATTGCCATAGATAAAACAAAATTGCTCAACATTTAATTTTTAAATTTATATAGTAAGCTTATATGTGAAGAGGCTTGACTAAAATTGAAGAATTATAGTAAAACATGTCATTCATTAAGGATCACTCTGAAGCAATTGATGCTATTGCTTCACTAGGGTGTCTTGTCATATTCTTATGGATCTGGGATCTATTAACATCAAAAGTAGGGCTTTAAAAGTAAGTAGGTTTACGCTTTTAAATCAGTTTATATTTTGAAAGTAAATCATAGACTTGCATGGTTTAGACTTAACCAATTTCAATTTTTGATTACGCCTATATAATTTTAAAGTAACTCAAAGTTTTTAAATTTTAACATTGGTCTTGTGGGTTGCCATGATGGTTACAAAATAACGACGTAAATGTAAACAAAATAAAGAATAATAGCATATTTTAAAATCAAGCCACACCTAAACACAGTACAAGGGGGAAAAAATTGGATGATGACAACTGATCAATACATGGATCAATACCCACGGCCGCCTTTAACTCCAGGCCGCGGCCTTCGAACTGGCAACGTTGCAAGTGGTGTTGTCACAGCTGTTTTTGTTTGGAAGCAGCTAATGGTATTTGTGTATTTACGAACGATTGGTTACTGGACTATGACAATATTGTCTCCGTTTAAAAATGTACAGATATAGATTTTAATTCATATTGTTTCGGTTTTAAATTCTGTATGTTTTATTTTCAATATTTTAATAAATTTATGATCATAAATTTAAATTTAAATCAATAAAGTGCGAATTAATGAGCTGATGTCACCTGTCTGCCATGTTATCTTATGGGAAGTCTGTCACTGAACAACACCACTTGCGACGTTGCCAATTCTACCAGGTCACGGCCTGTAGTTAAAGGCGGCCGTGTCAATACCAAAGAGAAAGTCTTAGGTTTACATTTAAGTCCCGATTTGGAAACGACCATTGATCGAATAGACAGTCTTAGATAATACATAATCTTTTAGGTACAGCATTTAACAGATTTGATTTGTAGCTAAATAAGGTTATAACAAATAACATTTTATCTTAAACAATTTGTCGTTAAATCGTAAATCACATTCTTGAATAGCAAACTTAAACAGGTCCACGACGTAGAAAGTGGTGAAGGAAGTAGTAAAGGTGAGAAGTGCGGAGTGTGGGAAACGTTTGTGGCATGGCAGTTAGATAATTGTATCTAAAATAATAAAATGCCATGGGAAGGGAACAAGGAAATAGTAAAGGCTGGCAATGCAGAGTGTGGGACCGTTTGTTGCAGTTACATTAATGTATCTGCGATAATAAAAATGTTATGGGAAGGAGGGAAACAGGTCCAAGACGTATGAAGTAGTAAAGGCTTGCAGTGCAGAGTGTGGGAACATTTTGGGGCAGTTATATTAATGTATCTAAAGTATTAAATGCTTTGGGAAGGGAGGGAAATAGGTCCAAGATGTAGGAAGTGAAGTGGCGAAGGAAGTAGTAAAGGTGAACAGTCTGGAATGTGGGAACCGTCTGTGGCAGTTAGATTAATGTATCTGCAATCCTTAAATGCGATGGGAATGGAGGGAAACAACAGGTCCACAGTTGGAAGTGGTGAAGGAAGTAGTTTAAAGGCTAGAACTGCTAGCAGTGCTTTGTGTGGGAACATTTGTATTTTGTATTTTATATCTATAAACATTTTTTATTTATTGCTTTATTGAAAATCATGAAACATGATTCCTCCGCTTTCATTGCTATGAAAGCAATCCTAGTTTAATATTGTCTAGAGTTGAGATTTTGTAACAAGTTCGATGTGTTTCATTGTCAAAGATGTTGAAGACTATAACTACTAAGAAGGCCATGCTCTATTAAAAGATTAAAAATACAAAAAAAATCTAATTAAAATTAGAGAATTTAAAAATTCTCTCCTTGTACTATCCACTATGGTACATTTGGTCAAATTTGCTCTTTTACCAGGGCATTATGTACTCATATTTTCACACGTAATGGAATTATAGCTACGTACACAGTCTCTCTTTTCTTCAGGAACAATGCAACAAAATCGATACTAGGCACAATGAGGTTTTTTTATAATTACGCAGTAGGCAATGTGGGATTATAAACTAGGAAATACCATCATATTAATAATCTTGATACTATAATATTTTGTAGCCCAACCTTCTATTATTATTATTCTATGGTTGTTACTCTTTGGTATGTTTGTTTGGGATTTGTGTTTTTGTGATATCAAAATGGCGACGCCTGTCTGCGTCTGCGGCCGAATGGAGTATTATTGAGAATGTGTGATGTGACCCGTTGACTGTTGTTATCGACCGAATTACACAATTCAACTTTAATAAACATAATTATTTTCCACAGTTACCATATCTTATACGCATTTGATGTGAGTTTTGTTTTGAGAGTGATATCTTTATATGTTGTTTTTGTTCTTGAATCAAACTTCGTTCAGCTAACAGGTCAGCATAATCATCGTGCAATTGAGGATTTAGGCTATGCACTAACGGAAATTAATATATTGTTTTGTGACATTCGCGAAGAACTGTATTAAGTGTTTCAGAATATAAACGTAGAACTATACCATTAAATTTTCGATGAATGTAACTTCTACCAATAGGCCTACTCTTTTTGGTAATGTCATCACCTAACAATGATTTAGATAACAGTGCTTTGGGGTTAGAAAAATCCGAACCTTTGATTGATGATTCTAGGCATATCATAAACAAAACCACCACAGGCCTACATGAATCCTCTGAAACCCAGCTGAGCAATAACGCTGTTACAAACTCTGTTGATAAAGTTAGTGCCAGTTTTAAAAGTAAAATGAGCGAAGTAGACTCAGATATCAACGTTGCAGAAAAAAATGACTCTTCTAGTGAAGAAGCCATGCAATTGGAGTATCATAATACCAGTGAAGATTGTCTTAATGATAATATGACTATTGACAAGAAAAAACTTAATATTAATGATGGAGATGATAATAGTGCTGAGCCAACTGTCAGTGAAGACGACAACCTACTCTCTGAAATTTCCAAATTAGTTGATCAGCAACATGGTGACAGTGATTCTCAGATAGTAAGTGAATCTGACTGTCAAGACAATAATGTGGAAAAGGACGATGCAATTGACATGGAAAGCAACATTGATGAAGTAAACAATGATGTTGAAGGCAACAGTGAAGGTAAGTTAGATAGTGCTCCTCAAGATAAAGTAGGTAACACATTAACAAGCGAAATAAAGAAGCCGAAGGAGAGTGCTGTTCAGAGGCTAGCGAGCTTGGGTCTAATTCCTGAGGAAAAACCTGTTGTGGAAGATAAAGAAACAATTCTAAAAAAACTGGCTAGTCGAGGTGGAATTTCCATTGTGCCAGCAGGATCCAGGCCCTCACCATCAAGTTCTCCAGTGTCAGTAAAACCTGTGTCTAGTAATGTATCACCAACCAAACAAGTAACATCTAAGACAGGATCTGTGAAGCCTTCATTGACGTTGAAACCTCCAGTGGCTGGGAAATCTCAAAATATTAGCAATCCTTCTGTATCCATACCTACTCCAGTGAAACCTATTTATAAACCTGGGCCTAAGTCTGCAAAGAAGAAAATAAAAATTGATCCCGGTAATTCTTTAGACATTGAAAAGGATTTTAACTCTCTTATAAATATCCTCTCTACTGGGGCTGATGTGAGTAGCACTTCAGTTACCTCCAGTACCGGTACTACTGAAGAAAAAAGTGTATCTGGTGAAATTGTTTCAGAAAAAGTAAATGAATCTAAACTTGAATCCCAGCTTGAAATGAATGAAGCATCTAATCAGAGTACAAACGATGGACATGTAAGCGGGATGGACGTCGATACAAATGACGATAAAACCTTCGAGTCAGAAACTGAAAGTCATGATGACTCTAAATTGGATCAATGTTCTGAAACTGATGAGAAAGATCCATCCAAAAACAAGAATAAAAATGTTATTGAAGAGGGCTCTGCTGAAATACTTCTCATAGCAGACAAAAATGTATTTTACAATAAAGTTCAAGAGTTCAACAGAGACATGAGGTATGTTAGTTTAGTTAGTAAAGTACCTATTTAGGCCTTAAGCTTAGCTAGGTATTCGGTCCAGCTACTAAAAGTCTAGTTTAAGTGAATTTCCCATAGCCTATAGAGAATACCCTAAGCTATTTACTGTAGGTGTCATGGTAAGACCTACCTAAACTTAGAAACACCATCAGTTTAAATTCATAAATAAAATTATGCGTTTTTTAGGTCGATAACTTGAGTTATTAAAGGAACACTTCTGTTTTATAAGTAAAAATTATCCAATTTTGAATGAATTTGGTACAAACTAGTATAGGTTTAAACTTCTACGTTTATTCAAACAATTTCCATAAACTAAGTTAGCATGATCAGACTGTGTGGGAACAGCAAGGCATCGAGTTATGCCAGAGATACTATAACTCATTAAACCGGCCACTATCAAACTTGAGAGATAAGACTTATACAGTAGATTCCCTCTTATCTGGACTCCTTGGGACCGAAGCCAGTCCGGATACCGGTAACGGTTTTTCCGGTTAAACCGACATCCCCACAAACTCATTAAAATGGACCGTTTACGGTACTGTGATATTCAACTTAAATTTAGGAGAGCTTTGTATTTAGACACGTGATTACTGGTTTCAGTACTTCCTGCCGATCTAGTCCGGTTAAACCAATGTGCTGATAAAAATTGTCTGGTTTTGAAGAGATGTAATTTTTGCTGAGTGTAGTTTGGTTAAACCGATGTCCGGTTAAAATGTGTCCGAATAAGAGGGAGTCTAACTGTACTGTGGTTGGCTGGTTCTAACTCACTCGAATGCCCTGGACTGTATAGAAAAAACGGGCACTTAAGCTAAATAGGTAATTATTTTGAAGAAGAATGTGATGAGATAGCCTAAATGGTATATTGTAAGTAATTAACTAATTTACAGCAAAGATTGTGTAATTAGCCTTTTTATTTAACTAAAAAGAAGTAACTGTACAGTAGTAAGTGTGAAGGACCTAGTCAACATTATATTATTACACTAAATACGGTACATATTTTTATTTAGGCCTATTGTCAAATTTGTAAAATTGTCAAAATTGTAAAGTCAAAAAATTGTAATGTAAAACTGTATTGTCAAAATTTGTAAACTGTGCCTTTTAAATGCCCGATATTGGTTTGTATATCTAAGCTATTTTGTTACAGTATTGCAGCTCTGACAGTGTTTTCTGAGATGCATCAACAGGATCCCAGGATTCGAAACCGGGGCATAAAGCGGAAAGCCAACGACTCAAGTGAAGCTGACTCCAACCATGCTGAGGGGACGGAAGAGAACGTTTTTGAAGCTGGAAAAAAGGCAGAGGTACAATTGCTGTTTAACAGACATGTAACATAGGCCTACTTAAAAAGTTACGATAGCCTAAAGATTTTAGGAGTAGAACGCCTTATTTGACTTTCCTTGTTTCAAAAACTTCTTTAAATTTGAATTTTTATCATGACTCTTAGAATTGCAATTTTATGTGATCAGTGTAAAAAAACATCACTTATTCTCAAATATTCTTAAATGGCTGAAATGATTTCAAACATATGGAAACTCGGTTTCACAAAAGTAGAGACATTAGCCTACACTATTCTCTTTCTATCGACTATGGAAAAACAACTTGATTAGGTAATGTACTGAGTATTTGACATATTAACGATGCGTGGAGTTGGAATAAGGCCTAATACTGTACTGCACACCCAGTCAAAGTGCAGTCCCTGCCTTTTCACCTGCTCCTTTACCCGCCATAGTCCCATAGTACACCCCATAGTTGGTGAGACTGTTTTGCCATTGGCTAGTCACTTTTTTTGAAAAGCTACGTATGCAAAACCGGAAACAAGCATTAAGTATTGCACTCTTAACCGACCTATAATTTTATCTGTTTCATAACAGTGTTGAAACAGTTTATAAATGCTATTTTCATATCATTTCCTACATATTGTAGTAAGATAACTTAGTTTTTGTAAAAATTCAAAAGACAATAAAGAATATTTCATTTCACTATTTTAAAGTGTCATCTAGTTGTAGTCAAATTCTAATGCTAAAAATGTCTGAAATAATCTCCAAAATAACCCAAATAGTTGAGTTAAATGACGTGTACCTATGTCACAGATTAAATTATCTTTCTCTGTTAACTTACAGAATGGAATTACCATCCTGGAGGCTTTGTCTGCCACTGGTCTTCGCTCTATCCGTTACGCTCGAGAGATTCCTGGTGTCAAGGAGGTGATCGCTAATGACTTCAATGAAGACGCTGTTGAAACGATAAAGAAGAATGTGGAGCACAACATGGTGGAAGACATGGTCACTACCAGCATGAGTGATGCGTCGTAAGTCTCTAGCATGTCATTGAATACACAATGGTTAGGGCCTAGGCTTAGTTTGGTCTGAATGTAAACAAGATTTTAATACTGTGTGGTAGTGCCTCAGTATACTAGCTTTTCCATTTCAAATGTGAATAGCTTAGGCCTATAGATTTGTGCTCTGACCTTTTTCAGTGTTTTGCAACCATATAGCAAAAGTATTTTAAAAGTTTGATTCCTCCACAAAATGTTATTATAAACTTTACAACTCAAAGTAGAGTTACATGAAATTTTATAGTGGATGTGGAAAAGAAGACTTAGCCTACCTTACCAAAAACAGTTGAAAGTACATAAACACCCCTAACACATTAATTAAATTGTACTTTAGAGATGCTAATTGAAGAAGGAGCTAGTGGTATAGAAAATTCTATGTTTCAGGTGTTGATACAGTTTACTTTCAACTATTTTCAACAGTATGGTACACCTGCTGTTCATCCTATACAGTATTAAATCCTTAAAAACTAGGCGCAAACCCATCCTTGCCAACAATTTTAGTATTCAAATTATGGTTTTTAGTAGTCTATACAAAACTACATCTGTCTGACAGTAAAAGTCAACAGCTGGGCATGTAGAAACAGAAAGGCAAATTATAAAGGAGATATAGTTAACAAATCTTTATGTCGGGAAGCGAACCATATTTAAATAATAACCAAAAACGGCTTTGATGTAGGCTGTTAATGTACCAACGGAAAGATGCACCGGAAGGGTTCGACGTCATTGACCTGGATCCTTACGGGTGTCCCTCACGGTTCCTGGACGCGGCCGTACAGGCAGTGAGGGACGGAGGACTGCTGCTGGTCACTTGCACTGACATGGCCATCTTGGCTGGTAACTCTCCTGAGTCATGCTACGTCAAGTATGGTGCCGTCAGTCTACGCATGCCTGCTTGTCACGAGATGGTGAGTATTGGTAAAGGCTGGACCACAGTTCTAGGCGTCTGGCTGACGCATGCGCATTAATTTGCTGTGTTAATTCTCCATCTGTCAAAACTTGGGCTAACATATGATTAAATGCAAATTAGTTACTACGCATGCGTCAGCCAGACGCCTAGAACTGTGGTCCAGCCTTTAGTAACCACTTCAGCAATTTACACAGTCCATTCATTGGCACATGACTGAGGCAACAATATCTTGTCAAAGTATCTGTTATATGAGCTCCATTCCACCTGATTGAGTTGAGCTGGACCTTGACCCTAAGCCAAGTTCCACAACCACATGTGAGCTTTTGCATTCGTTTCACCTTAAAGGCTTTTAGGCTTAAAACCTAGAAGATAAGAATTTAGTTTATTAAAGCTCTAGGAACATAAGATAACAGAACAGAGTACTCTCACTATTACTATTTATAGATGGGGATAGTCTTACCACAATATTTAGGTTACATATGGGCAACATATTTTTAGGTTGAACCTAGGGATTCTTGATACCACCTATTCTTGCACGATAATAAAAAGAATGTTTTTTTACCACTAAGTATACGAACCTTGTTTGCAGGGGCTGAGGATAGCTCTGCAATGTATAGAATCTCATGCTAATCGCTACGGCCGATACATCGTACCTCTGCTTTCCTTCAGTGCAGACTTCTACATTAGACTGATAGTACAGATATACACATCACCAGTTACCTGCAAGAAAACCACAAGGTTTGTGTTTGTGGTAGTCAATACACCTAAAAGTTCAGTCCTGCAAAATTCTTTGGTCTATGAAATAGTTCATGGGAAGAAATATGGATCTTTAACTTTTATTTACTAATTGACAGAAATATTGAATGTATAATTTTTGTCAAACTAGTAATTTAATTCTATACAAATGACAGTAAAAACTGAATACATCTTTAGTTAAATTTGAACTACTTGCTATAAAATCAGTTTGTAGTAGGTACCTAAACATTTTCATAAAAACCTAATAATATTTTCTTAGTTTAAATTTTATTTTCCAGCAAGTTGGCGATGGTGTATCAGTGTGTGGGGTGTGGCACCCATTCCTTTCACCCGCTCGGAAGTACCTCCCAGGTTGGCCACAACTCCCAGCCAAAATTCTCATTAACCCAAGGCCCGCCTGTTGGTACCAATTGCTTCCACTGCAACCACAAACATAACGTGAGTATTGCGGCTCTTTGGGTGCATTTTCAGTAAACTTTGAAGTAATACTGGGTAACCCACTCAACCATGAAAACCGTAAATGAGCTGGGAATTTTGTCGACCATAAAAAACTAAGACTGAGCGAAAAATGTTACGCTTAACCGTAGATACTGGAATGTGCAGATTCCAATTGTCAATTCATAAAAACATTCATCGATTCATCTTTTATTGGCAATATTAAGAAATTATTCTTTGTTGATATTCATCATTGAATTTAATAGTTGCTCTCAGGATAATGATCTCTTGCAATCTTGGTGACATTGTATATATTTAATTATTAACTCAAAAGACAGCCTCTTCAATTGCTTTAATATATCTAGATTCAGATTCCCATCCTTAACAAAGGTCAAAGCTCGTTAGAACCTCACTAGTTAATTTTGAAACGGTTTGTTTGAATTGATTAAGTATTGTTATAATCTAAGGCTTACCTTACGATCCAATTGATTTATTGTGGAGACCTAGGTTTCTACGTCGGATAGTTATCGTCAGTCCTAGGCTAAGCTAAACTTTGGAGGTTAGGATTGAAAAGATCATGGTCATGCATCTAAGTTCTCCACTATATCTTTGTAAATATTTATGTATATTCAGTGTTGGTATTTGTAAAACAGGGTGTCCACATTCTGGAAAGTCAGGGATAGTCATGGAAGGTCATGGAAAAAAATTCTGGTCATTGAAAGTCATGGAAATAGGAAAAAGATCATGGAAAGTCATGGAAATTCCCAATGATGGATGATTTGAGGGGACTATTCAATGCTCTAGCCGGCCGTAACTCCGACTACTGTAGCATTTTTCAGGATTTTTCACAAATATTCAACGATTCAATTTATTACAGTTGTATTAGTTTATGAGTTTTGAGTTTGTATTAGTTCATTGTTGTACCATTGTACTCCATTGTTATCTGTTAAATACATATTTCAGTAGTTTCTGCAAAATCTAGGCAGTACTATTCGTGTGTGTATGTTATATTATAATTTGAGTAAAGCTAGTGAGTCATGAAAATCAATGGTAAATGGTCATGGAAAGTAATGTAAATTAATGACAAATTTTCTGTGGACACCCTGACTTAAGCCACTTATGGAGTGACGACGTGTAAAATAGAGTTTTATCATCATCATAATGCCACACAATGGGCAACATATTGTTGAATGTATCTTTGTCACCATCAAATTGTATCGTATGGAAAATTAAAAGATAATCTATAAAATAATAGAACTTCAACTCTATAAGATGCTCATCCGCCTAGTCTGTGAAAATAATAGAATTGGCAACAGGTGGTCCTTGCTATTTTACACGGAGATTTCAATAAACTGATATCCAAGTGTGCTCTTGCCATTAACACCTTTCAATCGTGCCCAACTAAAAGAATGGCTGATATTTTTGTGTATTATACGTCTTTTGTGTTTGAAGTATTAAGAAATAAGGGAAAAAGTATTTCGATAGTATAACCCTGTACAACTTATTTCTTTTCAATCAAAATTATTGCGTCCTGTTTAAAAGATAACAATCTGGGTAGTCTTATAGAGCATTAGGAAGATTAGTAGAAAGTATTGTACTTTACGACAAGGTTACGTCAAGATCTATATTGAGATAATTATTGATAAACAACATAAAGCGAATTTCAATCGTGAAGATTTTCAAAATTGTTATTGTATCCCTGGGAACTACTGAACAGTAAACGTCTATTCCACCATTGTAAACGGCGCTTATACAGTTGAGCGGGACCCGCTTGAGATACTGCATTGAGCTTGTATCGTCACAAAGCCAGTTTGTTGTTCTTTAAGTCAAACAGCTGTGTGCGCTCCGTACAAGTCACACCAATGTGTTGGAAGTGATGTAAATGTACAATCATTTGTTTTGGCCGGGACTTATTATCATAGACATAATACAGGGTGTCCACATTCTGGAAAGTCAAAGATAGTCATGGAAAGTCTTGAAAAAAGGATTTCAGTATTTTCTGTGAAATAACTTATCCAGGTATTATTGGTATTATATGTGTGTGTATGTTATATTATAATTTTCTAGTAAAGCTTGTGAGTCATGGACATCATGGATAGTCATGGAAAGTCATGGAAATCAATGGCAAATTGTCTGTGGACACCCTGTAAAAATTCTATTCACCCGACAATATCTCAAGTAAGAGATGAAAAACAAAAAGTTTAGCTTAGCCTAGGACTGACGCTCCTGTGAGATAACGCTCCGGTGTAGAAACATAGGTCTCCACAATAAACCCATTGGACCGTAAGGTAAGCCTTCGATTATAACAATGTTTAATAACGATCCAGAGGCAATTTCTCCAAATGATTAAGTATCTCCATTTCATCTTGAATCGGAATGACATATCGTGTTGCATGTGTTGTACCGCAGTTACTGTAGTTCCTCGAATCCTAGATCTGTATGCCTCAACTCCATGTTCCTTATGTTAAGTTGTGAATTTAATTTTCATAGTTTTAGCTACATTACAGTACAATGTTTATTCATGTGAAATGATAACCTTTTTACCTATTTGTGATTTACCCTAGTGTCTTGGCATCTCTACTTTTTTAACTTTTACTTTAATAATAAATCCTTAACATTGCAGATGGGAGGCCCTATATGGACGAACCCTATATACAGTACAAAGTTTGTAGAAAGCATGCTGCAAGTGTTGGAAAAGGGGAGGTTTGGAACTGCTAAGCGAATGCAAGGTAATTTTGTTGGTAATACAAGCACAAACGTATAATTTTAGACTTTTCATTGATCCTGTGTCAGATCAAAGTGGAAATAGGGATGATTTTTAGAGATCACAAACACTGCTCAAGGGGCAGAAGGCCTAGCATTCTTATTTATTTGTCATTATTTATTTAGAGCAAACTGTAAAAGAGGTCCTTCTTGATCCATCTCACTAAATAAGAATTTGTATATCATTAATTACTTTTCATGGTTTCACAGAAAAAAAAACCCAACAAGGAATCAAAATTGCTATAGGCTACATTATTTTATTTGTGACAAAAGTTGTACATGATCAAAAAGATATTCACAGAAAAAAATTGATACTGGCTCATTGCTTATAAGTTGTATGGCTTCTTCCGCTAACAGAGATAATCCAATTTGTTAACAAAATGTTAGTACTATCTTTAACCAAAACGTTCTAGTTGTATAACAATTTGGCTGGTCCATATGTAGATGGGAGTTGATACTAGGCCTACCTAGTATCAACAATGAAATAAAACTAATCAATCCATTTTGCCAAACCATTTAAGTCCTATTATAGTATTGCCCTGTCAGCTTAGAGTGAGCAAAGCTTGATTAAATAGTAGACAGTTTATATTATTTTTTTTTAATAGAGAACAATATTAACATCTTCTCAACATGCATCATAACTCCGGTAACTTAATGATACATTTGTTTTGTATAGGAATGCTGGAAGTTATCAGGGAGGAGTTACAAGATGTTCCATTGTACTACACCATTTCAGGGCTGTGCACAAAACTACACTGTCAGGCCATACCTCTGATAGACATCAGGTAATTATGTAGAATAACTCAGTCTAGCTGATAATATAAAAAAGGGCACAAGCCTCTAGATTTAATTTTTTCGTTGGGATAGCATGTTTACCTCCACAGGAAAGTCCATTCTGGCACAGTAAAACAAATACTTTATTGTGTGCAGTTTATGTGTTTCTTGTGCTAGAATGGTCTCTTTTCCATTAAAGTCTATCTCAACAAAAATTCTTAGTCCACTAAATTATTTTTTCTAATCAAGTCAGTCAATCAATAAATCAATTTTTATGCAGCAATACTCTCCTGGATATGTATTTTAAGTAGGGATGGACGGGATTGAATTTTTAGTTCGGAACGGGATTTTTATTTCCTTCCCAATTTTCAGGACAGGACGGGACGGTATTTTTTCCTGTGCAAAAATAGGGTTTGTTTTAAAAGTCTTGAGTATTGCAGTTACCAAAAAAGACAAACAAAATCAATTTTTACAGTTTGTGGCACTGATCTATAAAAACTTATAACGGGTCAAACAAATTAAAGGTATAGAAAAAGCTTGTAACTAAATAATGTCATATCTGGTGAAATTTAACTGTAAATCATCAGTCTCATTATAAAATACCCTTACCTAACCACAAACAGGTAGGCCTATTGGAACAGACTATCACTACATTTTAAAACTGATTGTCAAAATGACTCTCGGTCACGCCACGATCTTTGAAATGACGACGGTTACGCCGCGATGGTAGAAATGACTCCCGGTCGCGGTGTGATCTTCAAAATGACTCCGCAGTTACGACACGATCTTCAAAATGACTCAGCAGTCATGGCGTGATCATCGAAATATTTAAAAATGTAGCCTATTGCATTGTTGTACCCTTGTATTTTTTTACTAGAAGAATAATGTTATTAAAGGATATAACCGTATTTACAATCAAGCTATTAAAAACATAAGTGCCTAAATTGCCAAGATGTTTAGTTAATGTTCTGTTGTAGGTCGGCCATTTTGAACGCTGGCTACAGAGTGTCTGCCTCCCACGCAGCACCAACGGCCATCAAGACCAACGCACCCTCCAAGATCATCTGGGACATTATGAGGTAGAGTTTGGCTGTAGTTGTTTAACTCATTATATTACCAATGAAGTACCGTACTTATGAACATTCAGTTTGCGATCAATTTGGTATGAACCCTTATTGACGCTAACAGACGAGTTTTAACGCTCAACCCCTCTTCTCACATATTTCCTTTTGCTCTCTTTCAAGCCACCCAAGTTCTGTGTAAGAAATCATTGATAATAATGTTAGAATGTTTTTTTTTTGTTGGACCAATTTCTTTAAAATTTTTATTATCTTTTAGACAAAATTCTTTGCTTATAATACGTACAAAATACACATACCTACCATAAAGTCTATGCTAAGCAAAACTTTAAATTGTGAGATTGTAATCCTAACTATTCTATTATTATTTTATTTTAGCACCAAGATTACCTGGACTTTTTCTATGACAAGCTAGCTGATATCCCTTTAGCATAAAAATTACAATCCTTGCATTAAACCTTTCCTTAAACATGACTAATTAATTATAATTAAAGGACAATCAAACTAATTGTTATTATTGACAGTGATATTCGGTAAAGTGTTTGAGAAACGCTTGGTAAGGTTTGTACCACTCCCAAGTTTGTTATCTGCTGCAGATGTTGGGTGCATATGAACCCTGTATCAGAGAAGCGTCTAGTCCCGGGGTCCGTCGCCGCAGCCATCATACTGGAGCCGCCCAACCTCATAGCTAACTTTGACATCCACCCTCGCGCCAGGCCAAGCAGTGCCATCCGCAAACTGGTCAGGTACCAGCAGAACCCGGAGAAGAACTGGGGACCCGGCACTCGAGCTCGGTGCAAGTAAGTACCAGTACCACTCGTCTTCATGAATGAGAAGCATTCTAGTGTACCTTTTCGCTTCAGTCTTTTTCCATCTGGATGTTCAACCTTTTGAAATACAAGTGGAATTATAAACAGAACTAAACTTCCATTTATCTATGCATATGACCTACAAAAACGGCTTCGGATTTTTGTTGACCACGTTTTTTTTAGCCAATTTCCCATTAGGGAAGAAACTATTACCTTATTAGTAGGTGGCGCGGTATACTTGTTCATTTTTATGTCCCCAAAGGCCAAAAACAAATCTAATCAAATAACAGTGGAAACATCACTAAGGATTCGCACACTATTAAGGATTCGTATCCCGTCTCAAGTCCAAGTTAGGTCTGGTTCGCGGTGTGCATCTCATGGTACCCACACAACCAAAAAAATAATCACGCTTACTGGTTCAAGAAATCCGCATGATTTTTTTGTTCAATCCTGAGTGTTAGGCTACATTTGACGTATCATGCTTAAATAGTTGTTTAAACTTTGCTATATTTTGCTACAATAGTTTAATCATTTGGAGTTTTTTTTTATTAAGTAGAAAAAATCAAAATAGCAGTCATAACTGAAAATCCCGATTTATCCCGCATCCCGTTTTAATACTGCTCACGGTCTAAAAATCCCGTTTTCGTTATAATAATCCAGCGTATGGATACACTGCTCATGAGAAGCTCATCTGTCTCCTCTAAGATAAACAGTGGGATTGTATTAAATAAACATAGGTTAATTTAGAAAACACCTCATTGCAGTAGTAGAGTTTCTGATGGATATAAAGATTAGCAAATTAGTTAAGTATGTTATTAAAACAAGTACTATTATGGCTTAAGCTTATAGGAATGAAATAAAGGATTAATGGTGTTTAACACTATCAGTCCTTCATGGTGGCTGATATAAAATACCCTTAGCTCCTTTTATTCAGACTGAGCAGCTTGTTTTACTCTTAAGGTTTTTAGATCTTCAAGGCAAGGTGGAGAAAAGGCATGTGTTTTAGACTGAAACTTCAATTCATTTTTCAATTTACTAATTTAGCTAAACCCAGGTCTACATTCTAAACACTGTACATGATAGTAACAAATGGGTGTGTAATATAAATTTTGAAGCTTACATCTTGCATTTTTAACAGCCCACAACCATGTGAGCTGCCGAAATTGAGAGTTCGTAGAAGAGCCTTTTGTCAGACTATTCCTGTCTTCTGGGGTTATTGGAAAAGTGGGCTGTTAACTAAACTGTACCCTCTGAGATCTTTTACTTGGGAGGTACGTCGTATGTGACCACTGATTGATTTTGAGAGGAGTAAACAATTAAACACTCCTTATTGTAAAAAGCCATTAACAATACCATTAGATTTGAATGATTTTGAATGAATGAATGATTTAGAATGTAGCATTGATGGTTTCATTTAACATTTTAAGGAAATTTAAAAACTGTCTGGCCCCATTCATGTGAATGATTGAATCACTGGCATTTATTTTTTACCTAAGAAAGTAATTTTTTGATCAAATTTATGTATTCAAACACTTTTTAGCGAATTTCCCCATAGGGAAGTAGCTATTACCGTAGGTGGTACGGTAAGACCTAGTACCGGAACCGATTTACTTTTTCATTTTGATGTCCGCAGAGGCCAAAAACACCATTCATTCAAATTTTTATAAACATCCGTGAACGCGATAACTTAAGTAATTTTTGTCCGATTTTGATGAAAGGTGTAAGGCAGGATAAACTTGAACGAGTTCGCGAACCAGCATGATCGGACCATGGGAACGGGGTTTTACGGGGTATTTAAAATTCCTTATGTTATTCTTTAAGAGTATGCCGTGCTGTAAAATGTTGTAGTTTGCTTGTTTATGGATATATTTTGATCAAACTAGGCAAAATATATCCATATATCCATTATTTTATACCAAGTTATAAATATTTTATTAAAAAACATATTTTATTAGTTTCCTTGCAGCAAACCAAGGTGTTAAACCTAATGTTATTTAAATAGTTTTGATTGCAAATCAATTCAGACATTCAGACAAATGGAAATTTGCTTAGTCGGCAGGTTTGCTGCGGCGGGGGTATTTCATTTCAGAGCATCATTAAAATTCATCGAGTACAATGCATTTATACATTTTTTTCTCTGTGGTTTTCTTTATGAATCCTATGTTATTACAGTAGAACCCCTCTTATTCAGCGACTAGAAGACTGAGTCCCTGGCAAGATAAACTAACCTTTTGTAAAAACGAAATTTTTTTCCTAGTCTAATAATTATTAATCACTAAAAGTAGGTTGAAAAGTCAAAAGCAGTGTTTAAGTATATTGGTAGGTCTATTATTATTATTATTTAGAAAAATTCACTGTTAGTTAGTAAAAACGAACACACATTTTATTATAAAGGTTTAAGTGCCAAGTGGTTAAGTAATGATCATAAAAATATTATGATTTCAGATATCATAAACACTAGATGTGTAAAATTTCACACATTTTTTTTGTTCTTAGACGCTAGGCACGAGCCCATGATTGTTTTTCTTCACATTAGTTTAGGATAGACCTAGGGGTTGCGGAATTCTCACTTAGATAAAATCCATTGGTAATTGGCAGGATTCTAACACAGGACTGAAAACTCGCGCTCTACCACTAGACCAGCTCACTCCCCCAGAGTTTTTCACACTAGAGCAATTATTACTAATAACTGGTAATGATTGTTGATGGTACGAAAACGGGTACCGTAACTGAAGTCACTCAGTTTTTCAATATCTCAGTAACTGTCTGAACTCAAAACTTTTCTAGGAAACTTTGAGCGTGGTTTTTTTATAAACTTTCAGAAGAACAAACATTGTCATTCTCTATTATTAAGTTACCTATTGTTAAATACAATTTTTGTTTTCAGCAATGCCGAAGAAACGAAGAATGAAAAGAGGCAGATTAACCAAAATAAAAACAAGAATAAAAAGCATGTGTCAATCATTGAAGTTGTAACCATAGATGATGAAGACGAAACAACAGAAGAAGCGAAAACAGCGGAAACGTAAACCAGACCTTGAGTTGATAAAGAAAAGATAATATGTTGTGCTTCACAGGACTTCAGTCGAGAGTATTTAAGAGTGGATTATTTAAAACAAGCTATAAATTTTTATTGGTTATTTTATACAATTTCCTCTGTTATTTGATATTTTATTTACCTACAGGGTATTTTTTACATTAGGTCCAAGATTTAGGTAGAATGATTAAGAGAGATATTTTCATTTAATATTTGGATACTTAATTTCTCTAAATTAAAATAATTTTGGTTAAAAAAAAACAATCAATTATGCTGTGTATTGTAGCATTTGATTATTTAAAGAGATTTCTTAGTAATATTTTTCTAGGTTTTTTTATTGTATAAAATTCTAAAAGAGGAATAAGTATCTTTCCTCTATACTGCAAAATTTAAATAACTTTGCAGGACAGATATGTTGGAAGTTGAATATAATATTATATTATGATGTAAATAAAGACAATTTTTACTTAATTCAATAAGTACTACAGACATGCTGTACAAAGATGTATAATTGAAGTAGAGTTTTGAGTGTTAAATAAATGTCATTTGTGGTATTTATGCTTTTGGTTCTTGGAAGGCTGTAACAAGCATCCTCATCCCTATAATTCATTTACAACTTGTTGGATTTAAGAGTCATTGGAGGCTAGCAGCCATCTTGGATAATTTTAAACAGCTGCTGAAGAGCTATTTATCGTCCCCAAATATTTTTTTCAAACACCAAAAGTGATTATAATTTAAATATCTAGTATACTGTGAGATTAGAAATGTTGTGTAAAGTTTGTAAGGCACTTGCGAAGGCTCGTATGTTAAATTTTCTACTCGTGTCGTTAACACTGTCTTTATGCGATCGTTGTGTAAACTGCTATTTAAACTCCATGATTACCTTACAGTTTGGGTGTAGTCTATTGACTTCGCTATTGTGGCAATAGTTTATTTTAATTTTAAGGTAACTAAACGCTTTCACAATTTAGCAATTAGCATAACAAAGGGTTTGACAGTTCCCTTTTAAACAAATAACCTTAAAAACTCATCTGGCGTAGTTATAACATACACAGAATGAAACCTTGTTTAAATCAGATCTGAACAATACATTTTGCGGAGATATAGACCCTGGGTTGAATCAGTATGGCATTTCAATATTTCAATGGAAATAAAACAACCGGTATCAGTAATCTGACACTTAACGTCTCCCATTAGCTTGCCTACAACCCTTATCATGGGCAAGCAGTGGGAGAAAGTATGGTATTTTATGGCTAGAATCACACAAGTAGCAATAACTCTTGAACCGTAATTTTTACAGCAATGGTGGCTATACCACTGTTTAGAATAAATCACTTAAACTCGTAAATTTTTACAAAAACAATACTTTCTCCATTTACTATGTCTAGGAGGAGAAAGTAAACGGGTATAAAAACCTGATACTGATAAATTTATAAAACATTTGCTAAGACGATATAGTTTTTAAATTTTGCATGACATTTATACATGAAGATTTAGATGTTATTCACGAAAAATAAAGCTATATGCAAAAAAGGAAAGAACAAAAGATCATATAAACATTTTATTGGAAAATAATACAATAGTATCAAAGTATGTAAAAAAGTTATAAAATACATTATATAACTTAGAGAGCAATTACAGTAAGGTTACATGGTTGTATGATGTAAACAACAACTAATAGTGTCATAGGAACAAACTTAACAAGGATTGTCGTGTCTAAATATTTATAGGATCGTCACGGCCGCGAATTCGCCGCGCAAGTTGCATGTCCTTGGCCATTAGTGTGACGCGTCGCGCGTGGATCGCGCACAACATCGAATCTTCGAAGAACTGAGTCATGTACAGCTCGGCAAACTCCTGCAGAGCTTCTAGTGCCAACGTCTGAATCCTGAAATATCATTCAACCATGGTCAATAAAATGTAGGACTTTAGGCTGATTGTTATTCATTTTGAAAAGACATTTCTTCAAAGAATAGTTGAATGTAATATAAAACAAACCATAATGACATACGTTAAATAAAATACAGCCTGAAAATAAAACAAACAAATTGTTGCCTAAAATAAGTCATATCTCTTCTACTTCTAGACTGATAATGGTAGTAAGTGCCTTATGTTGACACAAGTTAATTTTTATGGTCACCACTCACATCCATGTTGTATCCGAAAATGGTATTTTTATCAAAGTGATTTCTCACCTTTACCGCCTAAATACACCCTTTCTTGACCAAAGATTTTTAAAAGAAAAGATCAATGAATTTAGTGTGAAGTGATATATTGTTGGCTATGTTGGCAAAAGTTCATATTTTTTATATGATTCACCATGATGTATATGAATGGCAATGATTTTTTTTTGTATAAAAAAGTAGAACTGTGACTTAACATTTCAGTGGATTTTGTACTTAAAGAGTGGGATTAAAAATCAAATTAACAACCTTCCGAGTGATAGTGTTGTGAGGATAGATTTGCAACTACTGAGCTAAACAGTTACAAAGATAACTCGTCCTAGCAAAGGACTTGCTCTATAAAGAATTGCCAGTGTTATGCTGTGCTCTTTTGTGTATTTACAAGCCTCTGGATTTAATTTTCTCAAGGAAGCTATCTGAATAGAATCATTCCCAAAAAAATTAAATTATTACTTTTATTATAAACCCAGCACTGTTGAAGTTTTTTCATATAAAGCCCCTGGCTTTGTTTAACTAAACCTCTACGGCCAAACCATTTTAACGGTTAAACTTACCTCAACGGTTCACTACCATAAGGGTTCATCTCCATGATGATTTCCTTTACCAGCCGCATGAATGGCAGTTTAGGGATTAACAGCTTCGTTGACTTTTGAAGCGCTCTGATTTCCATTAATGCTCGAGTGCCAGGTCTGAATTTTCTCTTTTCTGCGACCATCTGAAATGAATAAAACAGAATTTCGTAATAATGGTGTAGTTATTTTATGAAATGAAAAATTTTAAGTTTTTTTTAGTTTATTACAACAAGGTAACTAGGTGCACAATTCTAAGGCTCATTTAGTGACAAATATAACAAAATCAGGTAAACTTAATTTAAAAAAAGTGAGTTTTTTAGACATTTGGGTCAATATTTTTGTTTCTCAACCACTAACAAATTTTCAACAAAATACGTTTTATTCGTAATAAAAAAAATAAATCCTCTTGAGTTTCAAAGAAAAAAAACACTCATCATGAAAGGAAGGGATTTTTCAATTTCCACATAATAAATCAATAAGGGCCATACAATATAATAATACCGTACTAAATTAATCCAATAGACAAAACAGGTACTAATTAGATTCAACAATTCATGAAATATTTGTAGAGAAAATCCTAAAAAAATACAGGGTTATTCTAAATGATGGACCCATTTTTAATGCTTTATAATTTTTATACTATTAAACTTAGCGCTATAAAATACACATCAAACCAAAAAGCAACTCAAAGAGTTTATGCCGTCCAAAGACACATCATTTAACAATATCGATCCAACAGAACTGTAGATTTAATTGTACAAAGTTAAAAAGTAATCTCCAACTTTTTTTACCACTAGAAATTTGGAGGTTACTTGACGTTTTTGCAAATAACATTTAAATGGTGAGGAAATCGACCAAAGTGGAAGGTATTATTCCGAAAGAGAATAAAATTTCCTACAATCTACTATTATGCATTTTTTGAAAATACTCAAGAAAGGTACCAAAAATTGCCTCAAAATTAAAAAAAAAAAAATTGAAAATCCCCGTCTTCAATTGTAGACAATAAACATAGCAAACATTAAATTTCACACTTTTTTATTTTAAGCCAAATTTAGGCTACATTTATTGAGTATTTTCAAGATATGCGTAATAGTAGATTGTAGGAAATTTTATTCTCTTACGGAATATTACTTTGGTCGATTTCCTCACCATTTAAAAGTTATTTGCAAAAACGTCAAGTAACCTCCAAATTTCTAGTGGTAAAAAAAGTTGGAGATTAGGTACTTTTTAACTTTGTACAATTAAATCTACAGTTCTGTTGGATCGATATTGTTAAATGATGTGTCTTTTGGAAGGCATAAACTCTTTGAGTTGCTTTTTGGTTTGATGTGTATTTTATAGCGGTAAGTTTAATAGTATAAAAATTATAAAGCATTAAAAATGGGTCCACCATTTAGAATAACCCTGTATAAAGGTGTGACAGGAATAAAAAGTTTTAAGCCTAAACCTCTGCCTGTGAAACTTGCTAAATATATAAATGAATTTTTTTAAATAAATAAGTTAACTTTAAAACGAGAACATTTTAACTAAACAAAATTACATTTGTGTTTAGTAAGTATAGCAGTAAAAAAATTCTAAATACATAGCTAAATTTTGAATGTAAAAACAAAAAGTGATTGCGATTAACCTTCACGATTGAATTCTCAACTTTCGATTCGGGAAGATGAAAAGCAATGTCGGCAAGGTCCCGAGGCCAATGTTGAACAGCTATTTCCATCCATCAGCTGATATTCGATTCATACCTTCTGGCACAATAGGTCTGCAATCATGGTTGCTTGCCAAAACTCCTACAGTATTTGACTGTCTGTCTGGTCGCGTGTTTTGATTGGCCACCGAGTGATTTTCCTAGTTTTGAAATTTAGAAACATAACTTGTAGTCGTTACTGTAGCCCGTCTGTCAGCATTGAAATTAAAGTGTTATAGGCGAATTGAGTGAGTTTCCATTGTAATAACAAGTAAATTAAGTGCAAATAAGCATAGTGAAGATAAACATTTATTTTTATTTTTGATTATAGGCCTAAATATTTAATATTCATAAATATTAAATTTGCTTAAAATTTGACGAAAAACTTTTGGTTGTAGGATTTCCCTGGAAAGTTTTATTTACCAAACTTAAAAATTAAAAAGTTATTACAAAATCTAAATAATCCCAAGTTGTTCGCTGATTTAATAGTTTTTCCAAAATAATTAACTTGAGGCTATGTTGAAAAACAAATATAAAATAAAACAATCTTAATGTATGTGAAAATAGCAAACTTAATATCATTACTACTAAATTACTAAGAACTACATTACCGTTACTAAGTATTAGGCCTACCTTCATTCAAATATGCTTGGTGTAATCATCTTTTATTTTAAGAGGATTACATTTTCTTAAATGGAAGAGCAGGATATGGGATAGGCTGCAGGAAATATGTAAAATTCATAAATTAGTTTATAATATGTCTAGATAAAATACATTCTTAGTAAAGCTTTGAAAGAACTTGTTTGCTGATTCGCTTTAAAATTTAATTGAAAATCCTATACGCTTCGAAACTTATTCATAGTGTGGTTTCTAGTGAAGTGATAAATCCAAGAACAAAAATGGAAACATGACAACATGCAACGGGAGTTACGAAATAATAAATTTAAACCAGGTAAGGATCACTAATATACTAGATACTGCTGTACCGGTATTGTAATAGGAATTAGTCATGATCCCACAACACCACGTAGGTAGGTTACTTACACCATAAATACAAGGGATAGTTCTTACAATAGTAAAATACCCTCGCCACAGCAAACTTGCAGACTAAGCGAATTTACATTTGCCTGAATTGATATACAATGAAATATGTTTGAAAAATCATTAATTCGGTTAAACGAGTACCTAGGTTTGCTGCTACAGGGAGGCTAATAAAGTGTGTTTTTTTGTAAAATATTAAGAGTTTAGTATAAAATAAATAAATAAATTTGCCATTCTTCTCCATAAGAATAATATGGAAATTTTAAATTTACAACTTTATTGAATTTTCTCCGTAACCAATAACCGCACAAAAACACTTCAATATACTATTAAATTACTTATCTTTTTAAGCTAACAAGATATAAGACAAATTTGGTGGTTGAAGTTTTATTTAATTTAAAGAGTTGCCTCATTGGAATTTTACAAAAATATTTCCATAAACAACACAAATTAATTCCCTGTTTGGATGACATTAGATTTAACGAGTACTTAGGTTCACTGCTATGGAGCAGGGGAAAAATTCAGTCAAATACAAAAAAAATTAAAAAAAAATATAGGTGTAACACTGGCATTAATTAGGCCGAAGTAGCCTATTTACTTACAGATTTTGATTTATTGACCGAGGCATTTTTTGAGACCTTTGTGGATTTTTTGCCAATACTTTTTCTGGATTTTGGAGGCAATTTCTTTTTTACACTCCCTCCTAGAGAGTCGACTGAAACACCAGTCGTATCCAGAGATGTCAATGTAGAATTTGTTTTTGGGCTCTTCTCCATGAACAGTTTCTTTCTGAAATGTACATAAAGTGTCATTCGCTGTTCCTAAGTTCCATATTTACTAAGCAGATGCTTAGTAGCTTAATTATTTTGTAACATGAAAAGACAATAAAATACAATCATTAGGCCTACAATAACCAAGCTAACACACAATTAATAGTTAGTGGGATGCACAATTTTCAATGTTCATTGTATGTGAAAAATAACTTAGGCTAACAAAATTAATAGGAAAAAATAACATGATACAATATAATAACAAATATAAGCAAGCAACAGCAATCAGAAAAAAGTTAAAAATCAGTTCATCCAGTTGGTTAAAAAATTTTCAAAAAGGAGCTATCACCCGCCGGCACTTCTTTCACCATATATTTGTTTGGCTCATTAAAGATTTGTAATTAAACTGAGTCAGGCTACAATTGAGCGCCAAATTATTGCCACAAGAATGTTTCCCCTCAAAATGAAGGTTCCTCACTGAAACCAACAATTTATTAAGCGAAGATATGTGACCACATTGGTCGGTTAATACAATTTAGATTACATTTTAGAACTTAATCAGCTAACTAAAACCGCTGACAATCAGTTTGGATTCAGTTCAGTAATGAATATCCAATTGTTATTTCACTTGAAACTAGTCTAGGTAGCCTACTATTTGCCTACAGGGCAGATAAAGATTAATGAGTATTTTATGGCCAAATTATTGGTCTGATGCATTTATTAATTACTTAAACGATTTTATGTTGAAATGTTACCGAAAACCTGTAGCCCCAAAAACACATTAGTTTGTGTTAATTTTTAATGTTTAATGATAGTAAAATGACAACTCTAATGCCAATAAAATTAAAAATTCTCAACCTCTTTCCATGAGAGTTTTTATTGATTCAATCTGGGAACCGTCCGCCTATTTTTTTATCATGTTTTGATTTATTTTATGTACAAAAAAGCAAAATACTGCATAAAATAAGTTAAGTTTTTGGTGGACATAGACGGGGCTATGTCCCGTACTGATAAATTTATAAACTTTCATGTTATGGCTAGCCCCGGGACATAGACACATGTCTAGCCTATGTGAAAGTTCTCAAAATGTCTAATTTAAAACAACTTAGGCTACAAAGAAATATATCTTGTCGGGTCATTCCATATCAAGTGATCAAAATAAAAAATAAAATTTTCCCTTATGTTTTTCATTCTTGTTAGTTTTTGGTTTATTTAATATACACATAAAACCAATTTAAAATTTAGAAAAAAAATATTTTTATCTCCTTTGGTTTTTTTGTAATCTTACTTTAAAGTTCCAAAAAAAGTGTGGTTTTGCGCTTAAAGGGATTTACGTTTTATTTAATATCTCAAGAAAGAATAAAGATTTTAAAGGTAAAACAAAAACCATTCTTTTCAGGATTAAATTAGCTTTAATTTGATATACAACATGACAGTATTTAAAGTAATTAAAATTTCAACCCCCCAAACTCAAAATTTCAAAAGCCAATCCCAAAAAACGCATATGATTAAAAATTTTCAAAAAAATACCAACGATCCTTAATGTTATTAATAATTTATGTCCAAAAATTCAAGTTGGGATCTCAATGGGATCCATATTAAAATAATTTTTTTGTATAAGCCTGCAATGTAAATAGACAAGTCGTAGGCTACAGGGCTAATCGTTACATTCATTAGCTACAAAAATGTCTAAGTAACGTAACATACAATAAAAAGCTCAGTTGTACAATACAAGTACAGTAAGCCTAAAGTGTCTAAAATTTGGTAACTTCACTTTTTAAATAAGATATCAATTTCCTTTGATACAAGCTTCTTTGAGGATGAAGAGCAAGTTAACCCAGATTCAGAAATAATTGCGGAATTGAAAGAAAAATTTCAGAAAACTACAAAAAAAGTGAGAAGTTCTTGAGACTTACAACATTACCTAAAAGTTGGACTGTGAAAAATTGAAATCGAGTTTGGTGTCAGTAATAGGATGGCCAGAAGAGCTAAATCGTTAGTTAAAGAAAAGGGAAATAATGTCATGTCCAGACCCAAAGCCAGGAAACACTTTGGACCAGAATGTTGTAGATAAAGTCAAAGCTTTTTACAACTCTGATGATGTGAGTCGAATTATGCCAGGCAAGAAAGATTTTGTAGTGATGAAAGTAAATGGATAGAAAGAAAATGTGCAAGAGAGACTGGTTTTATTAAATTTAAAAGAATACTTTGAACCGTTCAAAAAAACAGAATCAGCTGTGAAAATTTTTTTCTCAAAGTACGCTGATTTAAGACCGAAGAACTGTATCTTGGCTGGGGGAAATGGAACTGACTCTGTTTGCGTGTGCACAACGCACCAGAATGTAAAAGGAATGATTGTCGGAGGAAAGCTGAAAAAGGTGAAGATTGATGAAGCTACTGATCTTGGCGATTACAAACAATGTTTGTCACAAATAATGTGCCAAGAAAATACCCCTGACTGCTACCTAAACAAATGTGTAAAATGTCCAGGAGCAGGGTGTCCACAAAAAATTTTTCATTAATTTCCATGACTTTCCATGACTATCCATGACCATTTACCATTGATTTCCATGACTCACGAACTTTACACGCAAATTATAATATAACATACACACACAAATATAACTGCCTGGACATGTTATTTTGCAGAAAATACTGGAATATGTAATAACAGATAACAATGGAGTACAATAGGTACAACAATGAACTAAAACAAACCGAAAACTCATAAAATAATACAACTGTAATAAATTGAATTGTCGAACATTTGTGAAAAATCCTGAAAAATGCTACAACAGTCCGGGTTACAGCTGACTAGAGCATTGAATGGTCCCCTCAAATCCATCCATAATTGGAAATTTCCATGACTTTCCATGACTTCTTGCCTATTTCCCTGACTTTCAATGACCAAATTTTTTTTCCATGACTTTCCATGACTATCCCTGACTTTCCAGAATGTGGACACCCTGCAGGAGTATTAAAACCAAAGAACTAAAACTAAAAGAAGTACTTCTGAACCACTTTGAAGAGGGGATGATAGAGACCATCACATACAAACAATGGGTTTCTGTGGATAGGTGTACATTTGAGACATTTTGCGAGACTGTAGAAGAATTTGTGGACAGTTTTTGTGAACAGCTTGTTGAACTAAAGAATCATTCATTCATATCCCGTCAGCAATCCAAGTACTACAAAGATTTGAAAGAAAACATCCAAGAGGATAAAGCAGTTGTAAGTTTGGACTTTTCAGAAAACTACTCTTTTGTGGTCCAAGACGAGGCACAGTCTTTCCACTGGAATAATAACCTCTGAGCTACTGTGCATCCATTTGCTGTTTATTACAATGAGAAAGGAGAAATTAAGTATACAAGCTTTGTAATAATATCAGAATGCTTGATTCACGACTCGGTAGCAGTCCATTTATTTCAATTGATATCTTATTTAAAAAGTGTTAAAAAGTAAATTTTATTACGGTACCAAATTTTAGACACTTTAGGCTTACTGTACTTGTATTGTACAACTGGTTAGGTCTATAGACTATTAGCTTTTTATTGTATATTACATTACTTAAGACATTTTTTGTAGCTAATGAATGTAACTATTAGCCCTGTAGCCTAAGACTTGTCTATTTACATTGCAGGCTTATACAAAAAAATTATTTTAATATGGATCCCGTTGAGATCCCAATTTGAATTTTTGGACATAAATTATTAATAACATTAAGGAGTAATGGTATTTTTTTGAAAATTTTTAATCATATGCGTTTTTGGGATTGGCTTTTGAAATTTTGAGTTTGGGGGGTTGAAATTTTAATTACTTGAAATACTGTCATGTTGTATATCAAATTAAAGGTTATTTAATCCTGAAAAGAATGGTTTTTGTTTTACCTTTCTATCTTTACTCTTTCTTGAGATATTAAATAAAACGTAGATCCCTTAAAGCGCAAAACCGCGCTTTTTTTGGAACTTTAAAATTTTTTTTTTCATATTTAAGCTTCTTTTGCATAGATGTATCTAATGTAAAAAGATCAATCCTGTAAAAAATGGTGAGGTAATTGGTATTTGATCACTTGACATGGATTGACCCTGTCAAATAAGTTATAGCCTAACCCAGTTTGTCCATTAGTCTTATTATAGGCACACCAACCTCAGCCAAAGACAGATTCCTCAAATAAGTTGCACATATTACTTCTGTGCAAAAAAAGTTTGCAGCCTTCAGTTTTCTTTTCCTCTTAAGAGTAAGTAACATGGAGATCTTATAGGCTAAGATACCTAGGCCTACCGTGATTTTAATTTTCTTTGTAACCTTTAATTTTACAGCATCGCTTCAATATAGGCCTACATACCTAATTGTTTTTAAGCTCTTTGAACTTAAAAACCTGCGATGGCTGTTAACATTTCCATGTTTTAAGGGTAAAAATTTGAACCCAATTTTTGAAAATTGCAAAATACTCAGTTCCCATGACCCAATCTAAGTTAACTTACTTAGCTGGCTCGCCAACTCACTCAAGTTTATCCCACCCTACACCTTCAAGCCAAATTTCATCAAAATCTGACCAAAATTTACTCCAGTTAACTTATCCCGTTTACGGACAAAAATAAAAATATCTTAATATAGCCTAACTTAGGCTAAATATCTTAAGATACGTAACTTACGGTGTGTAAACATTTTAACGAATAGTGTTTTTGGCCTCTGGGGACATCAAAATAAAAAATTGAATCGGTCCCAGGTCTAGGTCGTACCATACAACCTAAGTTAATAATAACTTAGGAAGGCCTAATAGGCTGCAAAAATTTGATAGTCCTATCCTAGTGGTAGATAGGCCAACCGGAAGAGAGGCATAACTTAGGCTATAACTTAACTTTGGCATAGGCGTAAAAAATTCAATTCAAGACCTTTCAAAACTGCCTGTAAGCCATCCACTTGTCTTAGTTTAGGCCTATCAATTTAGCCAAGGTCTAGTTAGCTGATGTGGGAATTGAACACATTTTCATAACCAAACTAAATGGAAAAGTCTGACATTCAAAGTCAAGATACTAAATAAATATGGCAGCCTTTCATAATGCAATATTAAAGGCCTAGGCCTTTACAATTTGGTTTCCAACTAGGCCTAGGATATAGGTAGCCTAGGTATTATTATTATCCTAAATACTTACTTGGCTGCCACTTGTACCAACTTTTTATTCTCTAATATTAGAGAATCTGTCTTCCTTCTTACCATCTTAAATAAATACAAACGACTAAGGTTAAGGTTTACGGGAAAATATCAAGTCAATTATTAAACAATGAACGAGGAATGGACTTTTAGGTTTTTAACGAAACGACGTTAGACGTTAGTCTTAAAATTTGAACTGACTAAAATTGACGAATGAAGAAGTTTTATCTTGAAGCTTAAAGTTTTTCTTCTTTCCCTAACAAAATGAATACGAATGTGATTTCTCTCCTTTGCCGCCAAAATCAAAATACACCTTGCTTGACTAAAGATTTCCAAAGAGATTATGAAGTATGGCATACCACCAGGAAAAGATCAATGAATTTTGTGTGAAGTGAAAATATATTTTGTATATATTAATTATTCTCAGAGTGGAGGTGTTTAGGGAAAATTTAAACAAGTGTAAAAAAAACAATTTAAACTATAGAGCAAGCGAATTTATTTCACATTTATATTATTACAAAACATAAAATAGAATTGACCAGTAAAACCTACAGCTTATAATAAATAAGCATTCATATAATCTTTGGTATGACCACGACCGCCTCAAAGGTGGCCGTGAGTATGACTATGTCAAATAACTGTTTACAAAAGGCAGGCATTTTCATTTGTATATTATTCACTCACTAAAAAAAACTTTAATATGTAAATTATATGCCTGTAAGATGATTATTACATTTACTCGGTTTGGTTCTTTTACAACACATCCCATTCACTTTTGTAATGGAGGTTACTGGAGGTAATCGGGAATCTTTAGGTTTGTTGGAAACATAGTTTAGTTTGTGATTGGGTTATCTGGTACTGTCATATAAAGGGGTGTGTTTAATCTATATTAGTGGATATTGCATATCGCGATCGCACCTACAAGCCAGTGTTTTTGCTCACCTGGGGCCCATTTCATAATAAGCTACAAGTTACAAGTTACAACTTGTAACTTGTAATTTCGATTAGATTTGCATTGGGTGATCAGTTGATTTACTAATAATATTAGTTTGTACTTTATTATGAAATGGGCCCCTGTTAGGTGGTTTAGTACTGTAGCTTGTAAACTCGTCCTGTGTAATCGAACCTTTTAATTGTATTATAATGACGATACGATAGATAAAACATAGTTAATATATATGACGATACTTAGGGTGAGTCAATTATAATAGACTTAACTCCAGTTCGGTGTTTTAAGAGACAGTTTTTCCACCGAATAAAGTAATACAACTAAATGGGTAATGACAAAGGAAAAATAAACATCATTCCATGCCATGGTGCTTCTCCTTGTAAATCGAAGTACCCCCCCACCCCCTTTTAGCCCACCTCCTTTTCGAGGGCTTTAAAGTAAGTTTGGGAAAGACAAACTATGATAACTAAGTTTAGAGTAGGAAAAGCTGAAAAATTTTCCCCAAAAGCCGGAACACTTACCATACGGTACATTAATCATACTAAAATTATTAGTCAAACTTGTTACAATTTTATCAACACGATTGTGGTCACCGTATACAATATTTTTATAGAGTCGTGCAACAATTTTAAACACGTGTTAGGGACTAATTCCCGACTAAAGCTAATTCGGGAGATAAACCTTACGGATTGTATACTGAGTATGAGTATTTCATAGCGCTCATGCGGAAATTGTACACTAAAGACTCTGTTTCAACCCGCTAATTGCAATCCCAATTATTGTTATTGCTAATAATAATACCGTGACCGGCCGGTGGTTCAGAGGTTATTTCTCATTCTTCAAAAATAGGATCTACAGTATTCCACAAAGATTATTGTTAGGTACATTTTATATAACAAGAAAGTCTCTTTTGTAGGCAAACGGAACTGACTTTATATTATTGGAGGTCTGCCTCCACTAGAGAATATAGACATATAGAGAACAGAAAATCTAAATAAGTTAATCACTTTAGAGTTTAGAGTAGGGGTTATGCATGAATTTATTGATAAGTGAATTTGAAGATACTGTAGTAGTATTTTAATATAATCAAACTACAACCCTTTCTGAATACTGTATATATTCATCGAAATTTAACCATTTTGTCGGAACGTTGTTAGTTCGACACGAACTTCATATAGTATATGATCTATTTCGCCAAGGGCTGTTTTGGTTGAAAACTAATTACAACTCGCAAAAAATATCTGTGGAGACTGGAGAGTGGAGATACTGGAGAATCGATAGAATTTGTGAGTGACTGAGGCAGACGACAGAACCTCGGTTTTATGTGTCTTGAATCTTGATGACATTCCTATTTTATCCCCGAGTTTGTTGCAGAACAGATCATAATGGGGATGAAACCTCCCCGGTGGTTAGTTAAAGGAGGAACGAAAATTAAGTGCAAGAAAAAAGGAGGACTGTCATATCCATCAAGTTAAATGAATTTGGTGAATATAAATATAAAAATTACTACCGTAGGCTAAAATTTACTTGTATAAAAATTTGTTTCTATCTTTATCAATCGTTAAGAAATTAAAAATAATAATATTCTGATACCTTATCTTATGCCTAGTTGTTGGGCTTTTGAAAACATCCAAGCACAATCTTTTCTCGATTTTAAGCATGGGTGAATTTCATTTCAGAATCTGAACTCGGGGGTGATTATTTTTTCTTGCGGATATTTCTTTGAAGATTGTTATGCCATCGACAAAAGGATTTGTACATTTAAGTTTTAAGTTACATTTCGTCATTATATTTTGGCATTTTTGCCTGGAAGTCAATCAATCAATCATTGAGATAGGCCTCTAATAATGAGGGTTGATAATTTAACTTGTTGTTTAACTTTCACCATAAATCATGTAGCCAATAATACTACCTAACTTAATGTTAATAAATTCGAAGTTAGCAATTTTTACACAAATGTTGTTTTTTGGAAGGTGTTATTATTCCTAAGTAGGTTAGGTCCTAGGTATGTCTATTTTTTTTCGTTGTGACTTGATTGGGGTTGGGGAGGAAGAAATACGGTAACTAGGCCTAAGTCAAGACATTAAAGAATACGTCATATGAAATAACAAACAGTTGTTTGGATAGAGATTTTTTCTCCAAACTGTCACTGATATGTTTACTTCAAAGGCTTTTTACAAATAAAAGGCCTATTACAACTACTTCCGAACATGTAAGTTAACTTATTGTACTTGTTGGCCTATGAAAATCCAAAACCAAGAGGGATTAATAACCTTTTGACCTAAACAACGGACTAAATATATTGCAAGTACAATACATAAAGTTAGTTTGTAATTGTAAACAAAATACAATGACTAACTTTGGTAGATCAGGAAACCAGAGATTCTGCGTGTATCAAACTGTAACTGTAGGGTACTTGAGTTTTTTATATATAGGCTAAGTTAGGACTGGGGAAACTTACAGTTTAGGTAATTGTCGCCAGTTTAGCCCACAATTTAGGCTTCAATTTCTTAAAACAGCGTGTCAGTGGCTGTTGTGACAACTAAAAACTCACAACTGTAGTGGGGGTTCACAGATTTTGCTGTGATTTTGAGTAACTTAGGCTTAATAAACTTATTTATGATGTTGTTATAATCGTATCAGTGGTTCACAGATGCTGAAAAAATCACTTTTCCCATGTGTTGATTTCGGTTTTGATTCATCACTATTTTGCACCCATTGCTGGACTGGACCACCGTAGACCTATGACCCATCTCCTTTTTTTCTTTCTTACAGTCAATATTTTTCCTACAGTAAATTATTTGCTTTATTAGGCCTGGGAAATGTGTAATGTTGAACTACGGTATATACTTAATAATAACTATGTTTGTAACTTAGATATATTTTGTTGCAGGCTAAAATATTCAGTCTTGGTTGTTAGTTTATGCAATGCAAATTTTAACACATTTTAGTGAAAAATTTTCACTGACACAACTGGTAAATTGTATTGTAACTAAAATATTTCGTTGAAAATGTCCAAAACTCAAAAACCTCGTTTTGGTGGGGGGGGGGGGGGAAGCGAGTTGGTCTAGTGTTAGAGCACGGGGCATTGGAGCCCGAGGGTGAATAAAAACAAGTAGGACGAGTATTTACTTACAAGTAAAGTATAACAAGACTTTGGACACTAAATAAACTGGTGTGAATTAAGTGTACAGTTTGCTCGTGAAGGTTTACTTGCGATCCGAGGATATACTTGCAAGTATTTACTCGGATGCCAACTAAGTAACATTAGAAACGCAAGTAAATTCTTGTAGCGGTGCATGAGTACACCAGATGAAACTGCAGATTATGGCTGTATGCAGTATACAAGTACTGTAGATTATTACCAATTTGTGTTGGTTTTTGTTGTTCATGTCTTATTGATTCCGATCAAAATTATGTCCACATGTGCATTTTCCTCATCGTCATTATCTTCTTCGAATGTGTCTTCTACCTCCCAAGCGTCATTCAAATGCTTTGCAATTTTGTCAAGTTACTAGTTTGGGTACAATATTCAGCGCTATTCTCACTTGGCTTGACAATATAGGAAATTACGTTTGAAGTAGAGTCCAAACACTCATTCAATTATTACTCTTTTTTAAGCATGGGTCAAATTAAAATTCCGTTCGTGAGCAATTCTTAATTCATGAAAAAGAGTTTTAATTAGTCAAGGAGTAATTCCATATCCACTTTTACCGTGGAGGCAAATCTCACCATCATAGTTCCTCAATACCACTAAGCCGCCAAATCTTACTGGCATGTACACTGCCTGGCCATTGGGCGCAACACTTGTATTTTTTTCATTGGCGTCACAAGTCATAGCTGCACGTTTATTGGTGTTTGACCTTTTCTGTTAACATATTCCTCATTGAATCCCGAAGGTTTAATTATATGAACATGAGTACAGTTTTTCAATACCAATGCGGAATTTTGATGCCCATAGCTTCATACATTTCCATAGTACTAGACAATTCAATCCAATCTTCTGACTTCACTACTATCTGGTCCAATAATGGCAAATGTTTTGCAAACAGTAGGCCTACTTCTTTTCATTCCAATATCGTTAGTGACCTCACTTTGATACTCCGGGTCACTGACCTTTCGGAAACAAATTTCCATTTTTTCAGTGACATTCATCCTCCACCTCGAGTATCATCTGTGTGCTCATCAAGGAAGTAAGTTTAAAAAAAATCCTCACTTTTGCTATTGAACCATTGTATTCTCTTAGATTGATCGGAACTTACATTTTGCCGTCGTCCGTAGTATTTAACTCAACTCAAATTCATAAATGCACCCATCGTACACATGCGAGTACGACTGACAAGTCTGGGGTCAGGCAAACTTGCCACTGTGCAAGTATTCACTTGGCCTGGGAGTATATACTTGCGCTTATTCACACCAATTTAGGCGTTTTTCAGGGGTATTCACTCGCAAGTAAAAGTAACTTGTTTTATTCACTACATTTTAGATTTTACTTCTCTTTTGAAAATTATAATTACCGTATTTACTTGCCCTACTCGTTTTTATTTACCCGGCCCAATGAATTTTATCTATGTGATAGTGCCGCGATCCTCTGGGACTAGTCCAAAGTGATGTGTAAAACAGTTCCAGGCTAGAATCCACCATCCTGGGATGTGAAGGTGGGACAAAAAAAACATTGTATTAAATACATCGATATTTTAAACATTAAACCAACCAATTCTCAAATTTTTACTTTTAATAATTCTCATAATACAATTTAACTAAGAGGACAGCTCAATTTGAAATGTAAACTAGATTTTCAAGACACTATTTGAAATGAAGTGTTGAATGTGGGTTAGATCGTGGGGAGGTGTGAGGAGGGGGGAGCAAAGATTAGAGGTTGAAGTCGGTCAAAAAGAGGATCAAAGTTTCAAGGGTTGTATTTTACTCTGCAATGACACTGTAGTGCTGCAACATCAAGACGAGGTTGCTTCTAGCAATATGTTACACTTCAGTTATTACTTTTTAGTAAGTTTGCCATATCTATTAAATTTCACTCTTTTCGTTATTTTTTAAAGTGTATCTTTAACATGGCAATGTGAAACATTACAGCATCCTTATAATTATAGTATAGAGGAAACCTTATTGTTAACAGATATGTAAGCCTGTTCACTAAGTCTTAGTTCTTTTTACCTTGGCAAAACTATGTTATTATACAAGCAGTCTCACTATTTTGTAATTTAAAATATTTATTATTTTTTATTGTTACGGTGTTTTAAAATTTCCAAATCATTTTTTCACTTTGAATCCTAATGACAAACAGCTAAATGATAGTAATAATACAATGATAACCCCACCGCAGCAAACCTGCAGACTAAGCGAATTTTCATTTACCTGACTAAATTCCTACTGAAATAATTCGTTAACATTTTCAGATTTATCAAATAACATTTATTTTAATGATTACTTTCAAGTTTGCTTCTACAGGGAAGGTAATAAGTGTATTTTTTTTTTTTATTGAAATATCGATAGTTTAGTATAAAAAACAAATTTACCAAATCCAATGAAAATATATCCAAAAACAAGCAAACTACAACAGCTTATTATTATAAAAAAAATTACATAATAATTTTAAATTTACTGTAAAAAAATGCTTTTACTGTTAGGGTTCAGAAATGCCAACATAGGTACTAAATTATTTGTTTTTAATCTTTACAAAATATTCCGGAAAGAAGTTGGAAAATGTTTTGTTTTGAAGGTCAAAAACGAGAAAAACATATTTTTACCCCACTAAACCCACAATAAACCGCATTCCCATGGTCCGATCATGATGGTTTGTGAACTCATTTGAATAAACGCAAGTTTACTTGTTTGTACCAAATTTAATCAAAATCGGATAATTTGTACATAAGTTATTGTGCTAACAGACACATGTTTATATATATTAGCCTAATTTGAGCGGGTGGGTTTTTTGGCATCTGGGGACATCAAAACCAAAAAAGTAAATCAGTCCCGAATCTAGGTCTTACCATAATTAGTGAGGTCAGTTATCAAAAGATTTAAACAACTTTTGAAAGGAATAGTCTAGCTTATTTAAAATGTATTTTAGTTCAGAAAGGTTTTAAGACCTATCAATCTTTAACAGGAGCGGGTTGTTAATTCTCCATTTTACTTTCCCAGTGCATTTTTTCCTATTTTCTCCTGTTACCACTACAAGTCAAACTTATCAACAGTCTAGTATTGTCCCCTGACTTAACTTGTAAAATTTCGCTGAGATGTGATTTACTTAACGGAGGTTTTTGAATTATTAAGTCCATTATTGTTGTCCCTGTCCCCCAGTAACGGGACAAAAGCTAAAACTAGGATGTATGGCAAGTCTTAGGATAAGGTATAGTTTACTTTGAAACACTGTGGTTGGTTTTTTTCCTTCGTGATTTAAGGGAGACACACAAAACACAGTATTATTTACTCTTATTGTTAAGCTGTAATCATTTGCTGTTTGTTACAGAATCCATCCTCTTCGGCCAGCACAGCTTCATCTTCGCGGCTAAGAACAGTCCGGGCCAAATCCGGATCACTCAGCTTTATTTCCTCGAAATATGAGGTAGGCCTTTGCCTCAATTGTTTAAAATAAGCATTTGTTTACTCAAGCGTACTGGGTACTGCTTTAGTTTCTTTGTTAGCTAAATTTTTCTCTTTGGCTTTAATTATTATATATTTGTTCATCAGAAACAACTTAATAAACAGTTGTATTAGACAATGGAAGAAAATTATCACTGGGCAGTTTTTGTAATAATGAACTAACACAAATTCCAGACTATAAAAATTAGTGATGGCACCAATAATAATTTATCCATTTTCTGAAATTAACTGCAATTTTTTCCACTGTTAAAATTTAACTAAAAAATGTCTCTTGTAAGTTGATCCTGAGAAAAGTTGACTGACTTTTTTATGATTGATCAAGCTGCCTTGATTATTGGATTTCTTACTAAATGAGTAAAAGCAAAAATGAGTTGTAACCGGCTGTCTTTAACCAGTAACAAAGCTATCTCATTAATTTAAAACTCGTACACGCACCTTGGTATGTCCAGGTTGTCTGAATCTATTCTGACTATGCTTTAAAATATAGACTCTTTTATTCTATGGCTTTAACTTTACTTAATACCCTGCCTTCTTGAAACACTACTGAACTAGTAAATCTACTTATGATTTTAGATTGAATGAAAGTTTATAGAAATCCATTTGGGTTGATCTGGGGTGTAGCCTAAAGGATTACACACATTAAGTTCTTCATTAAATTACATTTTTATTTGTTTTCTGATTTATAAACATTTTACTTGTCCCAATACTTTGCTCACTTGAATGACTACGAAGCAATGCAAAATGTTTAAGCTATTTTAAAACTATAGTCTATAGTATAGTCTATTTTATACTAAGTCTATTTTTATTGAGTTTCAATCAATAGGAGATTATCTGTGGGTAAAATTAATTTTACGTGTAAAATGTTATAAATAATTAGAATCTGAAATGTGAATACAAGTTGCTGATTATAATTGTTTTCCAGAGTTTGGATTATGACACTTGCGAGAACAAACTTCTGGTCGATGAGGAGAGGACTCGCGGATATCCGTATGTTATACAGGTAAGCTACAATACGACGTGACTGCTTACTTTATTAGTTTTCTCGTTGTAATCTTCAGCAAATTTTCACAATTGATTTTCCGGAATATTTAAAGATTTTAAGTTTAAAACATATTCTTTGACATTTCTAATGGAGTGGGAATGATAATAAATTACTTTATGTCCTTAAACAGAGGATGTTTCTTTTATGGAGTTCCAAATGCTTCTGGAAAGGAGTTTCTGAAAAAGATAAAGATTCTTGGTGTAGAGTTTAGCATAGTGTTTAATATGTGTTTTTTTCTGTTTTTTTCCAATGGCTATAGCATATTTCATGAAGATATTGTGGTGATATTCTTAAGCCTCATAACACATTAAAAGTATATCTAAAATTTGTCCATGTAGACGTCATTTTATTTATTCCTTTGGAAAAACTAGTAGTAGGGCCTAATGGTGTAAAATACGATAATGGTGGAATTTTTTCCTCAGAAATGTTTTTTTGTAAGTGTTTAATGCTGTTTCTTATGCATTTTGTTTTGAGTGGTTTTTACAATCAAAGGATAACTACAGTATCTGATATCTTGTACAAGCAAATGGCCATGTTGGTCGGTGTATAAGTCTGCTGATCGTAGCTATAAGTCAGATTTGTTCTTTTCTTTCATACAAATTACGGTATCTTAAAACAATTTGTAGCAAATAAATAAGTATTGACCGTTTGCAGGTTTGCTCCCAATCTCTTAAATTTGCCGGGTTTAATTACATTTAGTTTTTAACAATTGATAGAAATGTTTTCATATTTACAATTAAGTTTGTAATATTTCCTGTGAGTTGTATCACAGCCAATGTCGGACTATCGATAGTGTTGCGAATGAATGTTCTTCTCTGTTCCAGACTGATGTTGCGAGATGGTTTTTGTTCTTCCTGATCGGACTATTCACTGCTGCCATCGGTGTGTTTGTGGATATCGCGATCGCACAGATAGCTGACTATAAATACTCTTATCTTAGAAGCGGTATCCTTTACTAGTATTTTAGTTTGAGTGGAATGCTTGTTTATTATTTACAGTATTTGAATACCTGGTAATAGTCTACAATTATTTTTAACATTCAGTAGCATCATGCAGATTTAAATTTGCCTTGAGTGGTGTGGAAAATTAGAGTTGGTTGTAGATTGTTTTCCAAAAATGCTACCAGCAACCTTTCTTGTTGCTTGGGTTGTTGCCATTACTTAATGCGTTAAAGTTGAAGAAAACCTGGTACCTCTTAGGCTAAAAAGAATTAAAAATCAATTGCCTGAAGGAATTTAACTAAAATAGCTTAATTGTATGCATGATGTAGAGATAATTGATTGTTTATCTTAGTTTGAAATTATTAACCATTGATAATGTGCTACATTGACAAATTAATGTTTGTAATTGATACAAAAATATTAATAGTTGCTGGTATTCTGAAACACTAAAGGTTTTGTACATTATTTAAATAGGTCTATAGTAATGTATATCTGTATTATCAGTATTATATCAGTTATCTTTACCTAATGTTTTACTTTGTATAAAAGAAAACATTTGGTTATTTTGAACAGAAAGAATGGACTATTCTACATTAGATTCATTCAATGCAAATACTGAAAAATAACAATCCGATTGTTCATAGTAAAGCACCAACTTCCGGTGTCATTAATATAAATGTTAGTAAAGTTAATTTAAAAGCCATTCAGTTCTGAGTTCTACCAAAATTGGACTTTTGAAAGATTGTACTTGGTCAAATGTGTGGGGGCCGTATTTGATGATCTATTTAAAGGAATACCTAATTTGGAATGGCAAACGTTCAAGAGCATTGTTTCCCAACAGCTTGTCGTAGTGATTTTCTGCCACAAAAATAGAGTGTAAAAGTTCAAAAATTACCTTGTTTTTTTCAGTAATAGGTCTTACCGGTACTAAAATAGTCCCACTGTTGGTTCCAATATTTAAGATTTTTGTCTTGGTTATCTTTATTAATTTTAGTACAAAGTTGTGCATTTTACACTTATTTGCATTCTTTTATGTATTTAGGCCTAATCTCTTTTCCATGCATATACATTTATTTATTGGAGTTTAATGTTGATTATGTAATTTCATTGCTTTTTAGATACTTTGTCAGAAATGTCTAGAAAAATGCACTAACACAGAGCAAAGTAGAATAAGCTACAGGTTTAATAAAATGGGTTTAACCAGTTGTTTTATAAGGCCAGTGATAGTTTACGATAATAGGCTTTATGTAGAATCTACCCTATCTATTGCAATTGGAAAAATACTATTTATTTTTAATGATAAATTATGTTATTATTGTTTTATTTTAAGTTTTTATAGATATATTCCACTATTGTGTTGTTATTTGCATCAACATTCTCCCTGTTAAATGTGTTACAAGATTTTTCAACATTTTACTAATTTAGAGTCGGCTTTAACATGTCACAATGGTTTTAATGCAAATTGTTGACATTTCACTGATTTATCACTTTTCTCATTTCACTGTTGTCGTGTTGCCTCCTTGACTCTGACCACAGTTATGAACGAATGTGTCGCCAACCAATGTTTCTACAAGACCTACTTTGTGTGGCTCGGTCTTGTCATGTTTCCTGTTATGGTCGCTTCTATTCTTGTTGTATACGTAGAGGTAAGTTGTGTTTTAAAAATCTATAACCAACCCTACATATTTGATATAAGAACAAGTTACAAAGAAATTTCACCCTTCATGTCTTTATATTCTACTGGAGTAAATTTAGTACTATTTTACACGTGTCCGGATAATATTTTACGTTGGGTCTTAGTTTGAACCTTTTGACAACAGACAGAAATAATGTTTTTATTATTGTTCTTCAAAGAGTTTAAAGATGTTGTTGAAATTAAAAACTGCAGACCACAACTTTGCATAAATAATAACTTTGTATGGTAATAATTTTTTTGTTTGATTCATTGCAACTGGATTTCTTTCTCCTCAAATTGGTTTGGAGGCAATCATAGTTTCAAATGCAATTAAAACCTGAGCTTGCAGTTTGTAGTGATTGATAAACAATGTTACTAAAATTGTAAATATAATTTTTTTTCAACCCATAAACAAATTGTAGTCGACACAATAGCACAATAGAATTCTGCGTTTGGCACGCATTCAATGGATGCAAAGGAAGAAAACAAATCCGTGGACAAATACAAATAACGCTGGCAGTGAGGTTAATCAATATCAGGTGGTGTTGGTGCAATTCAGGTGGCGGTGGCGATTAACAACAGCTGGCACGGTGCCATGATTGCTCTTGATTGACCCTTGTGTCCACTTTGCCCACATGAACATAAACACAGTCCGGTTACTCTCAAACGTCGTTTATTTTAATCACTTTTTCCTGATTAAAGTCGTTTATGTGCTGTTTAATGCCATTCCTGATAGAATTATTTTTAACCTTAGTTTCTCATGTAAGTTATAGGATTTAATTGTTTTCCTGACATTGTTGCCTGGTTTAAAAAAAGGAAAACTTATAAAACCTCTTTTTCAAGCTTCAGGAAACTTTTTAAGAGCTGCGGTTTGGCTTGACTATACCAAACTTAATCTTAAAATATAAATTTTCCTTAAAACGGTAATTTATCTTTTCTAAAGCATCCAGTTGCTTTTTTTATAAGATTATTCATGCTGAAGCAATCAAGTGTTTCTTGGCTTCTCTTTTATACATAGTGTAAACTAAACAAACAAAAAACAGTTTATATAAAATAATTTATAATATAAATTTAACTTCATTTACTTATTTTTGTTGATTTACATCTGTTTTAGATACATGCACTGAAGGAAAACTTTTGGCTGAATTTTGAATTTTAAGCCTTTTATAAATTGATCTATTTATTTGTGATTTTTTTGGTACTGAGGGATTGCTATTATAAACTGATTAATATAATACCAGGAGTTTGACACTCAAAACCACTTAATTTGGTTTGTCATAAATTATTTTTAGCCTAATCAAAGTATTGTGGTGTTTTAAAATATTACAAGTAAAAAACATTGTGCATGTAGTTTTTAATTCATTTTGAGGAAATAAAATCAAATAAAAACAAATAATAGGCTACTTTTATTTTATAATTTAAATACATAATGAAACTAGAATACAATACAACTTTTATTAGATTAGCTAAAATAATAAAGCACATAAAAATGTATTTTTGCCTACAAAATATTTGGTAAAGATTAGATAATAAGATTAACTTAAAAGAGGACTTTTTTTTGAGTTTTGAGATCGTTACACAAAAAATATCTTTGTTTTCTTACTTAGTTTGTTAATTAATGATGCAATATGACGAAACATATAGTTTATCACACAAGCAAAAAGTGTCTTTTCAACCCTCGCTCATTTTTCAAGCAAAACTTGAGCTCAGGTTGAAAAGAGTCACTTTACTTACGCCCTAGTCATAAGATAAACTTAAATTTGGAAAACTTATCTTACACTTAATTTTGAGTGAACAAATCGCTAAGCATTAAAAAGATTAGAACTACATTTTTGTTTTTTCCCCCATTGAGTTTATAGGAAAAATAGGCTGGCTTAGTGTACCCAGGCTCCAACAAAAAATAAATCTAAAACATGAAAAATGTGCTCTAGTGACACACTTGTCATTCAGATAGCTTTACATGACTGTAAACATCAGATAAAACATTTATTGTGTTGGTGAGCTTGTCCAATGGTTGGTTCGGCCAGAGCCAAACTGTGGTGTGTGTTTCATCTTTAACTCATGTTCATGTTAGTTTTTTACAGTTCTCACATATTTGTTGTTGTTTCCATGGTAACTAAATTTTACGATTTTTTATGTAGGCCTACCACAGAAACTTGGGAAATCATATGAAAACTGTTTTGTGTTAAATTTAATACCGTACATACATTTTCTTAACCAAATCAAGTATTGTTATAATGTAATCATGCTTATACGCTTTAAAAATTTTAACCTGCAAAATAATCTAGTTAATTTAAACATTGGTTCTCAGTGCAAAAGAAATTTTAAGTATTTAAATAGAAACTAATCCACTTATTGTACTGTAACCATTCAGTTTGCTCAAACAATTAATTTGTTTAACTTCCTAATGCATTGGTTGTTTTGTGGGCACATAGTTATTGTAAAAATGAATAAACAGAAAAAACTGCACTCTGGAATATATTCCAAACTGCTCGACTAAGTGTTAAAAAAAGTTTACAAAAAAATAAATCCATTTTATTTGTTATCTAGATCACAAAACTGGCTGAAAGATCAATTTCGTTAGTTGAACAAAAAAACCCACCATTCAGTTTATGTAAAAATTTGAAACATTTGTCCAGTAACAATAAAAACAACAGTGCAACATTTTTGTTTGAGTTTTTGTAAACAATAAATTACTATCAGTTTTATTTCAGTGTACGCTAGATCTATATTTAAGTTCCAAAAATATCCATCACCAAATAAAAACAAAATTAGGGTTGAATACCTTTTCTAATTTACAGACCATATAAATACAAAAAGAAATAAAAACATAAAAAAACCCCAAAAGATACAACATCATTTTATTAATAACATATTTTATGTTTGTATTTTATGTAAATATATGTTGGAATCCTATTCCAGCGATTAATATTAAACTGTGTACATAAACTGACCAAAGTATTTGTAATTTTTACAGACACAAAATTAAAAAAAAAAATATAGATAATTTTAATAAGGAATTTAATTATTTTATTTTATTTTTATTATAATAATTTTAAATATTTAAAATATTTATTATTTATTTCATTTATAAAAAATCTTTTTTATTTATGTTTAATCAACCTGAAGTTTTACCTGAGGACCCAACATGTTGGTAAAATAGTTAAATAATACTTCCCTACTAATTGAAATTACTTTGAAACAGCTGTTGACTTTAACTTGACATATTCCACAGCCACTGTGATCGTGTTGGTAGTTGGTTGTTGGCGGCCGGCCAGCTGATTGGGTGGGGATTGTCTATTTGACACACTAACTGCATTCCCATCCCACAAAACACGTGTTAACCCTTCGCTCGACAACTCTCATACTGTTAATATTTCTCCTCTGCGTTTTTCATTGCATTTATTTTCATACATATTTTACCAGATGTAGAAGAATATGAAATTTGACCGGTTTTTCTTCTTTTAAGTAAACTATTTTTTACCCGGACAAAATATTAAATATACTAATACCATCCAAATAGTTAAGTTACAAAAGTAAAAAATATCCATGTTCGTATTACTGAAATTATGTAGTAGTGTGCTGTTTTAAAAACATAAATTTTTTTAGGAGGTAGTAATTTTAAATGTTAATTTTGTTATATAATAATTTGATTTGCTACCACACTAATTTATTATTTTGTGGTACCTACCGTGTATCTTAATTTGGTAAAGACAAGCTACTTTTTAATTATTCAAGCCCCTCTAAGGTTTGAGATTACACTTTTATAGTCTAATAATAGTTAAAAAAAAACAGTCCCTGGTTTGATCCTGAGAGTCTCTGGTATGTCCTGAGCTTTTTGATTGTTTAAAACCGGACCCGGCTGTCCTTGATCATTGGGTTTTAAATTAAAGAAATGATCTATTTTTTGCTTCACCGCTCATATTCGAGTTAAAATATGCTCATAGGTGACTTCCCCATGCCAATTGATAATGATAATGAAAAAATATATATTAAAAAAAAAATACTTATTTAAAAATATATATTTAAAACAAAATACTTATTAATACTTATTAATTAGCCTATGTGCAAAAAAATATTTAAAAAATGTACCTAACTCAATTTATAATGTAAATGAACATTTAGTATTCAGTATTATGTAAACTTGTAAATAATATTAAAACAGACTATATCACATCGTATTAAAATAAAATAATAAAAAAATATATTAATAGAACTGCAGCATTTGAATTATAGTCTTAAGTCAATGTTACTGTTTGTTTGGAATCCCAGAAATAAAATAATTTTATGTAAAACACTGTACTTAGGAAAATAATGTAAATCAAATTTTATACAAATACAGTAGCTAAGTAAGCTGAATATTTTTAAAATATAAGGCCTACCTAAACCTTGAACTATCTGTTTTATACTTTCATAGCCCTTTACAATATCCCTGTTCTAAATATTTATTTAGGTAGGCCTAATAAATAAATTGAGTAGGAGTAAAGGTAAGTTTCATTGTTGTACTTGAATTAATTTCATCGTGTTAGACCCAACCAGACTTTGTTTATGTTCATGTGGGCAAAGTGGAAGTGGACACAAGGGTCAATCAAGAGCAATCATGGCACCGTGCCAGCTGTTGTTAATCGCCACCGCCACCTGAATTGCACCAACACCACCTGATATTGATTAACCTCACTGCCAGCGTTATTTGTATTTGTCCACGGATTTGTTTTCTTCCTTTACATTCCCCTGCTGATACAGCAGCTTTTGTTGTTTCAGAGTCCTGTTATTAAAAACATTTTTGTATAATTTATCGTTGAAAAATTGTTTTAATTTGTTTTCAAACTTAAAATTTTTTGAAATTTTTAATATCAATTAACAAGACTAGATGAGTATTATAATTGTTTTACAAATAAATACTCAATATTGACACAATTTTATTACAATATTTTTGGTATTTTAATTTAATGTTTTTGTGTTGATAATTGAAATTTTAAAATTTGTACCGTATTGCCTTTGTTTTCAGTTCTATATGTTACTGTGTGTTGTTTTTTATTTATTATCTTATGTAACATTTTTGTTATCTTGGAAGTGAGTTTTATGATAATTTTTGTAAAGTTGATTTAAAGTGAAAATATTGAAAAAGTTTCACAGACTTGTATTAAACCCTGTTTAACGATGTTGTGGACCAATGGAACACACTTACACTTAATATTTCTATTTGATACCATGTATATAAGATACATTTACTTACTAATCATTTTAATTATTTATTTAGCCAATGCCTTCACTGTTATTGTTTGTTTTTATTGATTTGTCAAAGAAAATGAAAATAATAAATGTATAACTACTACAAAGCTATTATGATCAAAATTGTGATACCAGGGGCCCATTTCATAATAAAGTACAAACTAATATTATTAGTAAATCAGCTGATCGCCCAATGCAAATCTAATGGAAATTACAAGTTACAAGTTACAAGTTGTAACTTGTAACTTGTAGTTTATTATGAAAAGGGTCCCTGTTGGTATCTTATCAAAATGTAGAATTTAACTTTTATTATGTACACAAACATGTGTTTAGATAATCTAAACAAAATAAAATGTTATATCATAAATAAAGCATACTCCCTAAGTAGATTTCTCATCCTTATGGAAAAGCTGAAGCCAATTTTATTGTTAGTTCTGTCCGGTGCACTGTAGGGGTTGTGTTTTGTTTACAATTTGTTTCTTGTTATTTCAGTCATTTAAAACCTCGTTTTACCAAATGAAACGATCTAATTATATAAACAATAACTCATCCCCTAGTTATATAACCAAACAGTAAAGCACAAAATGAAATTAACCCTAAAATAATAAAAACCAAATCTTTTAAACACTAATGATCAGTGTCACCGGACATGAACTAGACACGAAAAACAAGCTTCAAAATTTACAATGCGATGAGAAGTCTACTTGTGTTGGTTAGTTGATGGTGATATCCATGAGATTAATATTAAAACTTTAAAAACACAAAGGTAGAGCCATTGAATTTATCAAAAATATTTTTTACTGAGCATCTACAACTAGTAAGAAACATGTGCCTTAAATTACGGCCTGTTAAGAACCTGTGCTTCAAACTTAATTGCAATCCATTTGTTACTTATAAATTTATGTTTTCTATTTTACCTAACCCGCCATGTTAAACTTCCCTATCCTAAGCGTGATGTATACAACTTCCTTACTTTTCGAGTGATGTAAAGTATCAAAAAACTCACTCGGTGATGTAATGAAACCCATTTAAATAACATTGAGTGGATAACTTAAAAAATATAACTCTATGGAGCCAACGACGTTTAACGCTAGAAATCAGCTGTGTGCTTGAATTTTATTGTTATGTTTTGAAAAATTTTCCTAACCTAACTTTTGTTTGTAACTGAACGTTACTGTTAGAAGATGAGTGAAATGGATAATGAAAAATATTGTTCGTAACCTCCTGTATATTGTCGGGTCAGGTAAAATCTTGTACGTTACACGTTACGCAAGAGCGTGTTTACATCACTTACTCGCTTCGCTCGTTGCACAACTTTCACCTGCGTGATGTAAAAACGCTCTTACTACACTTGTAATGTAAATAGCTATTATATAACAGTAGTGATTTTATATTTATAAACCAGCTGCCATGAATCATTGTTAAAAAAAAATAATCCTGTCAAACGTATCAGCTTTGTAAAATAAGCACTTTATTCATTCATATTCTTCAGTCATTATCGCCTTGTGCCTGAATAACCACAAACCTAATTTAGACTCAGATTTTGTATTTCATGATTATTAAATACCCGGTAAGGTAAAAATTATATATAGAAAAAATAAAATAAAATTCCAGCTGATTACTATTTAACTATCTATCTATATATTAATAGGCAAGCATGTTTCTTTAAAACCTTTTTTCTCAGCTCGTGTGCATCGCAGGGAAAATCTACGCATACTTTTAGAAAGATATTTGCCTGTAGATGTGCAGAATCCCTTTATAAATTAAAATAGGCTAAAAAATAAGCACAAAAAACGAATTTGAAAACTTCAAAAAATTAACATGGACCAACTGGGTTGCCATGATGGTGACGAAATAACAACAAAATGTAAACAGAAAATCAAAACAAATGGAAGAAATCCCAATCACATGTTTTATTTACAGTGTGGGGAGAAAATAGAGTAGTCTGTACATTAATTATTTTTGGTCGAGTTTCGACCACAGGACGACCACTAGTACTATTTGAACGATAAATGCATAACTTATTTGAATCAAAATAATTTATTAAATGCCAAATTATATGCATATAATATTTGTGCATAGCTATTTACAATTTTTGAATTTTTTTGTAATATGTTAGTTTGTTTGCTACACTATTCATCTCATCCCGACCTTCAATCAGCTTTTTTTTACCGGTACTTAAATTGATGGAGTTTTAAATTGCTAAATTACTTTTAGCTCATTAGATCAATTAAATAACTGATAGTGGGAGACAAAAATTGATATTGTTAAGAATTAAATGACATTTGAAGAAAGGTGAATTCCCAATTCAAGTGGGGAGGTGAACATTGTGGTTTGGGTAGAAGTTTAGCTGGCACAATGCCATCGAGAGTCTGTCATAACGTTTATCAGTTATTCTTTTCCTCGCTTACAACAGCGAAATTTTTCTAAATTAAACTCGGTTATTGCTAAATCTCTCACATAATTTTAGTAATTTCAGACTTTGTTTGATATAAGCTCTTGTTGAAGATAATTTCTTCATGCCAGTATAATTATTTAATAATTAAAACATTACGTAGGTACCTTTTATATCTGTTTTGGTTGTCATGGTATGATACGGTTGGACGTGACAATGGAAGTAAATAAAACACTTGTTGGTATAAAAAGTTTAGTTTGGCTTAGTTAACTATTGTCTCTTATTGTTTTTAACAATTTTGGTATACTACTTTAAAAGTAAACTGATTGATTAGGCTACTTAATTATAGGCCGAAACATTTTTCTTATAAAAAATATATATTTTATTCCTTAGATAAACATAAAAAAAGTTTCAAAAAGCTAGAAACTATCCTCAATTTGACAAATAACGTTTTATCAAAAAGTTATTCCGTCAAAAATAAAACTTGTCACTAAAACTTCAAACATTATTTTAGTTGGTAATAAATTTAATTGGGTGTGGGACTAATATTGCAACTAAACTAATAGTGAACTATTAGTGTTTGAACTAATAGTAAGGTCATTAATAAACATTAAATTGGTTTTGGCCTGTTTTCAAACCTCCTGCTATTAATTGAGGCACTGATCGAACCGGTTAAAAAGTTAGCCCATAAATTCTTATTATATTATTTAAATTAATTTACTTTCATAATTATATTTTTTTATTTTATTACTAACTGGTTTTTACTATAATATGTAATACTAGAGAACCCGTGCGGCTCAATGAGCCGCATAGTATGAAACATAACTCCGAGGAAAACGTTATGCTTAAGTTTGAATAATTCTAGTTACATCTTAGAGTTGTTTAAACCCTTGTTAGAAAGTAATTTTAAATATCTCTATTTGCATCGTAAAAGGTTGACCTAGGCCTAAATTATTTCTGCCCTCAGAACTTCTCTACTCTGATTTCTGAACTGATAACTTCTAATGAATGCTAAACGATCTGCTTCAATTCGAGTTAACATGTTACAATAAAGTTTTTCCAGCATTGAGAATTGAAGAAAACTGTTGCCTTACTGGATAGCCTGTGTTAAGTAATTTAAGTTTGGGTCATTTTATTTCTTTGATTTGAGACTTCCCTCTAATCAAACAAATGTTCTCCGTAGAGAATCCTGAAAAGTTAGGTGATATCAACCATTTCATGTAGGCCTACCCCATGTTTTACCCACAAACTCTGAGTTACCAACTGGACAGCCATAATCTGCTTTGAATAGGGTAAAGCAGCAACATCATTGAAAGTTGGTTAACATATTTTAACGTGTTGTCTGTCAGTCATAGTATGTGCCCCGCATCAGAACGTTCTCACGTTGTTCAGTGGAATTCTTCTTTTAATACCTGTCTCAAAGTTTTGAAAGTATGGATTCATATATCGAAATAGGTTGGATAACTCTTCAAGCTATAAGATTTAAATATCAATTTTCATTTTCTCTTTTTGAAATGCGTACATTATTTGCCTCTCCTGAATCATAAAAGTAAACTTGACTGAATATGAAAAACTTTAATATTTACTCCCAAAAAGCTAATGAGTTTCCTTTTATAAACAGCTGTTTTTGTTTTTAAATTTGTTCTGTGTATTTCTTATGGGAAAACCCCGACCTTTGAGAGGGTCTCACGCCCTTAAGAGTAGGAATTTTATAATTTTAAAACCTTATTGCAAAACTACATATTGAGACGAATCTGTTGACACCTTAAAAGTTAAAATTGGTCCACAAATAAGGGAGGAGTTGCGTTAACAAAAAACGGCTTCACGTATTATATATATAGATAGATAGATTTTACTATTAACTGGATTATAATCCTTGTTTTTTGTTAAATGCTTTAATGTGCTAGGATATTCATATCACAATCAAAGGTTCCGCACATCTAATCTAATGACTGTGTCAGCCGGCAGCGACGGGCAGTGGTGTCCCGATCGTCATCTCATACCTCAACGGTGTCAAGATGCCGCACGTTGTGGACGTGAGAGTGATGCTGATCAGAGTGTGCAGTACCATAGCTACTTGCGTGGCCGGTCTGGCGGGGGGCAAGGTAAAATGTCAATGCAAATCGTATTATTACATCATAAATGCAGAAATATGAATTTTTAAGATATAATTTCTTATCATTGGCTTTATTGTGTTGTTTGTAAAATACAGTTCTATCATTGGTTGGTTAAAAACGTTTTGTCCAGGTTTTAATATGTGAAAGACATCTCACTTATCTGGATGGCCTTTTTCCTTGAAAAGTAGAAATCTGACAAAAAGACTACATATGGCAAGCGTAGATGACATGTTATATTATCGATTCGATTATATCTCTTTACATTCCACTGTTTGTGTATCACCTCACTGGATTCCTGTTTAATTGTTAGTTTACCAAAGGTTCCAAAATAAACATAAAATGAGGTTACTAACCTGTCGTCAATCAGTCCTCTATTGTCTTTGATGACTATAGTTTCGGGGTTATAACCCCATTTTCAAATCTTCTCTTCAGTTGTCAAATGTCAAACATATTCTCTTGCGTAAGCCGTCGTCAAAATTACTTTACACATACACATAAACACACACGAAAACATTTATAAATACAAAGCATGTACATGCGCGTGAGGCCGGCCAAGGACAAAACCAGACTGCAGGGTTTGATAAGACTGTAGGTTAGCCGATGCCTACTTGATGGTGTTGACCTTGGGGGAGGGGAACCAGCTGTTTATCTCCTCTATTGTTCTGTAGTTTGGTCACTCTGTCAAATAAAATGTTTGATCCAAAATTTAACTTCTCGTTCAAAACATCATTTGGGGAATTTTTGATTGCCTTGTAAATTTCAAATGTTTCCAGAACGTTCATTTTATTACCTTTATTACATTTGTGTAATATCTCTAAATTATCTATGCAACTGTTGACATTGTGATTTTCGTTCATTAGGTGTTCTGCAAACTTAGATTTTTGTGTTTGCAATTTAGGCTTGGGAAGGTGTTCTACATACCTTTTCCTAAATGAACGACCTGATTGACCTATATATACCTTGGGACAATCGTTGCATGATAATCTGTACACGCCAGATGTTTCAAGACTGTTACTATTATCAGGAGGGGATGTGTTCAATTGTTGTTCTAATTTATTGGTAGTCTTACATGCCAGAATGATGTTTTGTTTTTTTAATTCATTTTTCAAAGTGAAATGTAGATTATTGCCAAACTCAATGGATACGAATTTAGAATTATGTTCATCTGGAGACTTTTTGTTCTTCTGTTTATTAATGATCTTATCTATAATGCTGCTTGAGTAACCATTATTTACTGCTATGTATTTTAGAATTGTGTATTCAATGTTGTAATCTTCTTGGGTCATTGGCACCTTTAAGAGTCTATTCACAAAACTATTATATGCGGCCATTTTATGAGATTGCGGATGATTTGAAGTGGCGTGAATAGTATGGTCGGTGGTTGTAGGTTTCCTGTAGATTCTGTATGTAAGTTTATTGTTGTTTTTTATTAATGATAGATCAAGGAAGTTGATGGAATGATTCTGTTCAGTCTCCAAGGTGAATTGCAAATTATTGTATATACTGTTCAAATAATTGTTGAACAAGTTTAACTGTCTCACATTTCCATTGAATAAAACAATAGTGTCGTCAACATACCTTTTATAGAATTTAATTTTATTAGCAAATTTGTTATTTTTGGAGAAAATATATTCATTTTCAAAATTGTTGAGGTCAATTTCTGAAAGAATACTAGACAGTGGAGAGCCCATAGCTAACCCTTCTTCCTGTAGATAGAATTTTCCGTTGAAGGAAAAGTAGTTTTGTTCCAAAACTATTTCAAGTAAACTAATTAACTCATTTATAGCATCGGCTTCAAGTTCAGAGTAAGTTAGCAGGTTGTTTTTTGTAATTTCAAGAGTTTTCTGAATTGGGATATTTGTGTACAGGTTTACTATGTCTAGTGAGGCTAAGGTGTGTCTATTTTCTATCTTCATATTTTTAGTAAAATCAATTAACTCTAGGCTATTTTTAAGACTGTGGTTGTTGTTCAATTTTATGTTGCTCCGAAGTATCCTGTCTAGTGTTTTTGATATTTTGTATGATGGTGCAGTGGTAAAATTTACTAATGGTCTCATCGGCATATGTTCTTTATGTATTTTAGGTAACCCCTTAAGTGCTGGTGCTTTAGGCTTAATCATTTTTAGGTGATTACACTTTTTCCCATCTAAAATGAAATGTGATTTATTCATTGCGTTTTTTAAGGCAGTCTGGAATTTCTCTGTGGGATCATTAGGAATTTCTTTTATGTTATTGTCTCGTAAAAAACGTAACACCTTTTCATTATATTCCAAAGATTCCATTATCACAACAGTTTGTCCTTTATCTGCCTTAGTGATTATGCAATCATTAGTTACTAGCTTTTCTTTTTTTGCTTTTATAAGTTTAATTTCAATTTTTTGAGAATTATTTTTATGTTTCTTACCATCTAAAATAGATTTTATTTTCTTATCTATTACATATCTCACATAATTTCTGGAGTTTTCGTCATTGATGGAACAAATTGCAATCTCAGCATTTAGTATTTCAGATATCAAGTTTTTGTTCCAATTTCCACCTGATAAACTATGTTTGAGTCCTTTGTTTAGAATGCTCATTTCGTCGTCAGTAAAAACGACATCTGTGTAGTTTTTAACTCTTGGGTAAAATTGGTGATTTATTAAAAACTGTTCAATGGGCTTAGCTTGTTGTTCAATTAATCTATCTAATTTCTTTTTCTGGGTTTTCTTTTTCTGTTAAACTTGTTCAACAATTATTTGAACAGTATATACAATAATTTGCAATTCACCTTGGAGACTGAACAGAATCATTCCATCAACTTCCTTGATCTATCATTAATAAAAAACAACAATAAACTTACATACAGAATCTACAGGAAACCTACAACCACCGACCATACTATTCACGCCACTTCAAATCATCCGCAATCTCATAAAATGGCCACATATAATAGTTTTGTGAATAGACTCTTAAAGGTGCCAATGACCCAAGAAGATTACAACATTGAATACACAATTCTAAAATACATAGCAGTAAATAATGGTTACTCAAGCAGCATTATAGATAAGATCATTAATAAACAGAAGAACAAAAAGTCTCCAGATGAACATAATTCTAAATTCGTATCCATTGAGTTTGGCAATAATCTACATTTCACTTTGAAAAATGAATTAAAAAAACAAAACATCATTCTGGCATGTAAGACTACCAATAAATTAGAACAACAATTGAACATATCCCCTCCTGATAATAGTAACAGTCTTGAAACATCTGGCGTGTACAGATTATCATGCAACGATTGTCCCAAGGTATATATAGGTCAATCAGGTCGTTCATTTAGGAAAAGGTATGTAGAACACCTTCCCAAGCCTAAATTGCAAACACAAAAATCTAAGTTTGCAGAACACCTAATGAACGAAAATCACAATGTCAACAGTTGCATAGATAATTTAGAGATATTACACAAATGTAATAAAGGTAATAAAATGAACGTTCTGGAAACATTTGAAATTTACAAGGCAATCAAAAATTCCCCAAATGATGTTTTGAACGAGAAGTTAAATTTTGGATCAAACATTTTATTTGACAGAGTGACCAAACTACAGAACAATAGAGGAGATAAACAGCTGGTTCCCCTCCCCCAAGGTCAACACCATCAAGTAGGCATCGGCTAACCTACAGTCTTATCAAACCCTGCAGTCTGGTTTTGTCCTTGGCCGGCCTCACGCGCATGTACATGCTTTGTATTTATAAATGTTTTCGTGTGTGTTTTTGTGTATGTGTAAAGTAATTTTGACGACGGCTTACACAAGAGAATATGTTTGACATTTGACAACTGAAGAGAAGATTTGAAAATGGGGTTATAACCCCGAAACTATAGTCATCAAAGACAATAGAGGACTGATTGACGACAGGTTAGTAACCTCATTTTATGTCAATAGATCAATCCTGGAGGCAAATTATGTATAAATTCCAAAATAAAGCATAGAACTATTACTTTATAAATGTAAAATAGAATATTGGCCTTAACATCTCCACTGATTAAGTATTGTGAAATCATCTAGCGCTATGTTTTTATACAAAAGAGTTTTGTAAGTTTGAGTGTACTTTGTCATGGTAGATTTTAGTCAAATTTGTTGTTCGACAAAATTTTGTTCATTCGAGTTTAGCCTGGTTGTTATTTTGTTGGTTAAACATTTCTGTGCCTGCTAGTAAACCAATGTGTGACTCAGAATGAGTATAAAGTCAGCCTGAGTTAAAGTTAGGTCCTGTTGGACTGAATGAAGAATCTTTATCAAGTACCTGTAAATTCTCTTATCTAAGATTGTGATTTTGTTTTGTCGTAGGAAGGTCCCATGATCCACACAGGAGCTATCGTAGGAGGATCTCTCGCCACTCTGAGAGTCCCAGGCTTCAGTTGTGCCGACTCGGTATTTCACTTCTTCCGTGAGGATCATGAGAAGCGGGACTTTGTGGCCGGAGGATCTGCCGCTGGGGTCGCTGCGGCGTTTGGGGCTCCCGTCGGTGAGTGATTCTTTGTTTCTCGTTTGTTTATTAGGTCAACACCGTTAGTACAGTAGAATCCTGATAACAATACTCTCATAGTTATTATAAAATAAGACTTGTTATCAAGGTTGACTTCTTATCGAGGTTTGCAACATGTGATGTCATTAGGCAACATGTGTTTTAACATGTGATTAGGGGTAAACAATTTCAAGGGGGTTTGAAAAATACCCTCGTTATTAAGGGTTGTTATCGAGGCTCCACTGTATTTTTCAAGTTTCTTTTGTGAGTGAATGGTTAAAATCATGGGTTTTTAATACCTAAGGCAGACCTTTTAATCAATAGCCTAATGACTTGGCATCTGGGTTCAAATCAAGCCTCGCTGTGGATTGACCAGTAACTCTCAGACGTGAACTCGGCTACCGAGCCAAAAGTGAGTTTAACTTATAAAATGTATTATTGTTGAACCACTATAAAGAATTAAACAGTTTTTTACTAGATACATTATACATTTTTGTTGAATCAAACATAAAATAAATTTAGGAAATCACTATCAACAACATTGTGTGATGCACATTTTTTTAAGTTGGCCTAATTTTTATATGTTGTTAGAAAATGTTCAAACTAGTTAGTAATTATCAAAACTTAAGTTAACACTTTAAAATCGCCTCTGAGGCCTATATAGATTGATTCAATAGATTCATTCAAATCAAACTTATCTCAATTTGATTTAGTTTTTTACATAAAATTTCAAATTTATAACCAAATATTTGAGCGGTCTAAAAATTACACTCGTTAAAAAGATATTCCTCTGACATCTGCATTGATCTAACGTAGTCTTTCAGTTTGAGAAGCTGTTTATTTTCAGCACAGTTTTTACCATTGTTCTTGTACATTTTTCTCTCCTCTTCATCCATTTTCCGCCATTTCGCTGCTGCCTGTGCCACTAATACAGAAGTTGTCACTTCTTGATGTGTGATTTTCGCCATAAAGTCTTGTACAAAATTTATGTATGGGTTATTACTTGGTAGGGGAATCTTAAAGTCATTTTGGTCTTGTGAACGGTTTTGAGTATTGGAAGGAGTTGCCAATGATGATCGATCTAATTCAAATTCTGTTTTACTCACAACTGTGCTTATTATATCATCAATTAGATTTGTTTCTTTTTGGTCAAGCTCTGCAGATTCATTCATTTCTATAGGCTCAACGCACAGCTTCAATTCTTGTTGGTTGCTTGTAAAGCTATTCACTAATGTTGCTTCTGAAGAATGCTTGTTGATGTCTTCATTTTGACTACGAGTTGAGTCAAAGTTAGCCGATGCCAGACTGTCAGTATCTATTGTTGAGGTGATGGGATCCAGATCATCATCTAGTAGATGAGTAGAGGATTGAAGACTCTTCTCTGCGAATTCCAAGTCCTTCAAGATAGAGGCAAGCATGTCATCCATTGCTTGAGCTTGAAGAGCGTTTCTTGAAATTGTTTGACTTATTTGAACCTGACAAACGGTTTATATTACAATGTTATTTTTATCATTAGAGGTTACTTGTACCGTTGTACCTTTTTTAAAACTGATCAAATATTTGTTTGCAAATATCACTTTAGTCCTTTGATAAATGTCCAAATTGTTTGAAATAGGCTACTTAGGTTAATGTGTTATTTATTTAATATTGATCTTCTAATAAACATAAATATTTATTTTTTCCTCCTGCAAATTAACAGCTGTTTCAGTCCATCTACAAAATTTTTCTTCAACACTATTCTCAATACCAGAATTTAATTGTGAAAAATCTTTTAGCTACAGGCAGTATTGCATATTTTTTGAAATGTTTTATTACTGTCGTTTATCCTAAATGACAGCTGCTGAATATTTCCATTGTATGATGGTTTATTAAAACATCTAGCTAAACTAGTAAAAAGTATTTAAATTAAAACAATAAATAATTTGTAAACCCATTTAATGAAATAGTAATCTCATCCACTTACAGTATCTGACAGTATCGCCTAAAGACAAGGTACATAATATGGAATAACATCTTTTTATGTAAAAATATGTTTACTATAAAAAATTAATTCTTTGATGATGTTCTGTTAATTTAATTAACAAAAAGTATTTTTAAACGAGTACAAAGGTCTATATGATTAAATGTGTCAATTTCTATTCCAGGAGGGGTCTTGCTCAGTCTGGAGGAGGGGACCAGTTTCTGGAGTCTGTCGCTCATCTGGAAGATATTTCTGTCCTCGATGGTCGCAACTTTCACTCTCAATCTGTCCCTCAGCGCCTTCGAAGGACATCCAGGTGAGTCTCGATAAACTTAAGATAGTGTCAAAAGTGTGTATTATAGGGTCAAAGGTGACCAGTGACCACCTGAATGTGTCGTGCTAAGCACTATTTTTTCCAGATTTTTTTTTCTTCCGCTTAACGATTTTGGTTGGTCATGAAATTAGTTGTTACTGTCTCGTTGGGATTCACACGTTCCTGTAAATAGTTCTCTCTGGCTTGCTAGATTATATTTCCGCATTACATTCTATGACCTTATAATAACTTTATATTTTTATTTTTAGTTATAAGTGGACCTTTATGAGCCCGTTTAACAAAATCATAATCATTGTAATATTTCATGTAACTTCTAAGACGTTAAAGTAATTTAAAATGTTAAAATAACTGTGATATTAGTACAATTGAAGATCAAATATCTGTCAGTGATTGGAAACATTTGAATTGTTCCAAAAATTTTCATTCTTTAGAGTTTGGTTACTATGTCTATGTTCAGACAAAGATGTAAAGTTCAATGTAGTCAGGTTTAAGCAGATTATCAAGAAAATAATTTTTTTTTCTATCTGATAAGGATATCCTGGATTGTTCCTTACCAATGCCTTAAATACTATTTCTGCAATGAATAAAACAAAGAATAGGGTTTACATCACCATAACAAGGATAAATAAAGCTAACAAATTTCATGAGATGGATAGAGTCAATTGCCAATTTATACAATAAGTACAATCTGTATAAGCTATACAGATGTGGGTAAAAATGTATATAAAGCTGGTTTACTCGTTAATGTTCCCCTTGTTTATTTCTAAGCAAAATATGTATGATAAAGTAAACACACTGTTGCTCTGCTTGATTTTATTTGAAAATCCATGCTTGTTTTTTTTTCATTACTGTAGACTCCCTCTTATCCGGACTCCTCGGGACCAAGGCCAGACCGGATAACGGTTTTTCCGGTTAAATCAACGTCCCCAAAAACTTGTTAAAACGGACCGTTTACTGTGATATTCAACTTAAATTTAGGAGAGCATTGTATTTAGACACGTGATCACTGGTCTCAAATCTTTCCCACGAGAACAGTCGTTTCAGTGCCGCCCACTTCCTGTCGATCTAGTCCGGTTAAAACAATGTGCTGATAAAAATTGTCCGGTTATAGAGATGTCATTTCCACCGAGTGTAGTCCGGTTAAACCGATGTCCGGTTAAAAGGTGTCTAGATAAGAGGGAGTCTACTGTACTAAGCTTTTGGTTAACTTATTCTGTATGGTATTAATTAGGTTTCAAGAGTCATCAGTCTGTAAAATGTCACTGTGCAATTACCGGTCTTTCCCTCGGCTATTTACAAATTACAAGCTTTTCTAAGTCTATATAGTACATACACTCTTGTTCAAGTAATGTTATAATATAACCTCATTAATTCACTTAGACTTTTTAGTTTGTATTACTATCAAATTCCTGGTAAGGCAATTTGACAGATTTAATTTAATTTTATGTTTTGAAATTTCTGAAAAACAAGTCAATTAAAAGAAATTTGATTCTTCGTTTTTGTTTTATTTGATAGATGAACTGTGAAATAACAAATTTAAATCTTATCTTAAAAATATATTGTATATACTGACTGATAAAAAACGGGTCAAATAACAATATCAATTAATAAAACTATAAATAAGAAAAAATACTTAAAAAATTTCATGGGTTATAATAACATCTGGAGTATTAACATACATTTAACAAACATATTTGGTCGTAAAAATAAAAGCTGTGTTTTCTTAATAACTAACTGTTAATAGTTGAAAATAACTAAAAACATATTTAACTCTTTTATCTAAACTGGGTTAATAATGTTGATTTCTATTGAGGTATTTATCAATTAGGTTTTAATCTAAAACTGATTTAATATACTGAGAAATTAGGTATTATCATTGAGGGGTCCGAAGTACTTTTGGCTCCATGTGTTGCCTCTTTTATGTTTTATGTTGCTCTCAAAACAATTAAGTATTTTTAATTTGTTTAAATGTATATATATGAATTTCTTTACTAAACTCATACTTGCAACAGGCATAATTTAACTTGTTCTAACATTAAGTTGCAACAGTGAATTTGCAATTATACTTGCTAAGAACAAGATTCTGAGAGAACCTTTGGTTGTATCAAACACTTTACTTCAGAAGTGTTTTTGTTTGTCCCACTCTCAACCAATGGACATTTCTTCTACTCCAGAAGGTATTATAACTTAAGATTCTGTAGAAAGATATAATTTAAGTGAAGTACCACGCTGCCTTGCTTTGGTCAAAGCTGTTGTGTTTTATAGCGTATTTTGTTGAACATTAAAATTTCAACTTTTTAACATCAACCAGTTGTGTTAGCAATAAAAATAGCTTAAGATGTGTTACCAGCTAATTTTACCTGTAGGCTATATGTTCGGTTGTAGTATTACAGGATAGACATTTCTTGTTTGCTTGTAGAATTCAGCCCTCTAGATGCGCATTATACCTTAGAAGTAACATTTGTGCATCCATTTATTTCTTACCTGTTCCGCATGACTTTCAGCCATTCTAGATATTGAACTGTTAATAAATTTCCTTGTTCATCAATCAATTGCGCTTAAACTCACAATGGTTTTCCCAAGCAAGGATGCGGTGATTCTTTTAAATTGGATTCAATGTGTACAACTTAGTTTGGTTCTAGCAGACATAGAAGCATGATTGTCATTGACTGATTTTGAGTATACTAATTAAGTTTCATTAGAAATCATTTACTTGTTAGTAACTCCCTCATTCAGTTAAATTTCAACTTCGGCGAGAATTTGGTAAATTTCATTGTCTTTTCATAAACGTTTTATACGTTAGAACCTCCCTGGTAAAATTGAACACATCAGCTATTCATCTTAAAACAACACAAATTCTAAACAAACCATAATTTTAGGTACCTATTTGGATTTTGTCTTGTAATATTCTTCCTTAGTTTTCATATCTAGTTCCCTCCGTTCCATCTCAACCAAAGTGTTACTGCATGGTAGCCAACTTGTATTTTAATGTATTTTAGTAACTCCTGAGAGCTTGTATTTTAGATTTGAAATTATTTCATTTTGTTAAACAATTAATACTGATAGTTATGATTACACCTACTAGTAAGACAAAATAGCCTGTAGTTAACTTGATTCATAGAGAAAAAGAATTAAATATAGACTGTCAGCCATGCTGTGGTTACCATAGGTTCTGACGCACACCGCTGGGAGCCAGAACCTATGGTAACCGCAGCACGGCTGATGGTCTTATATTTAATTCTATTTTTGTATGATTGAATTTAACATAGTTCCGAACGTTTTGTAATAACTCTGTCAACTGCAAATTACTCCAAGTTTAACAGGTTATTTTTATTCAGGTGGTAGTATAAAGTATAACATGGTCAACAATAATCCAGACAGTTTTTTCCAAGGTATGTTCCGTTTTCATTTAAATCATTCATTCGATCATGTGTGTTGATTGCTTCCCTGTTTCCATCCTCTGGTTTCCATCTAACTAAAATTTGGTTGCATCATTGTAAATATTTATAATTCTAACCTGTTATGAAACATCATAATGAAGTCAGTATTACCAATTAACTCATAAACCTTGTTGGCCATGTTGTTGACGTAAACACTACCGAATTATGTCACTACAGAATTATGTTAGTATCAACTTTCTTTCCCACTTGTGATGGCTGCTTTTTCCCTTAGGCCCAAATTATTTTTGTTCTAAAGTTGCTCACGAGGAACCACTATTGATCAAAAAAAAAAAACAAACAACATTTTGTATTTTAAAGACATGTTTTTTCAACTAATGCCTTTTTTAGGGTTCGAAAAGATTTAAGTGTAGAAAATGTATCATTTAATGGCTTAAATATTATTGTAATAATTTAGTTTAATTTGAGTGTTTTTGTGTTGGCTTGTACCCAGTGCTATCAGAGATGCCAGGACTACTGAATTTATCTTGGTTGTAGTACTGACTGTACAAAGATCACCCAACCAACTAAGACAAACTGAGAATTTATCTATTGTAATGAGTTAATATTTTTAGTAGAGGTTTAATTGTTTTTTATCCCTTTTGCCGTGTCCCTGTGTTTGAAAGTTTGGTTTGTTGGCAACAAAATATATAATACAATGTTTACATTAAGTTCAAGACCAGAATTTAAAATTGATACTGTAATGGGAGGGGTCTGTATACTGTAATACTGTAATACCATTATAAAATATTTTCTGTAAAATATTTTTTCAAAAATGTTTTAAATTATTTTACCTGTGGAATCATTTCATTTTCTTTGTAAAACGAGTGCAAACGGAAATTGATTACAGTGCTCTCCCTGTTGTACGGTACCAGTACTGAATAACTTGTTATGAACTTAAAACATTTTTTTAAACCATTCTTGCACGTCTATTCCATTTTTTGTGTAATCCTATAAATTATTCGTTAACTATTTTTTTTTTTTTTACTCAAACATTTACTTTAGAAAACTTTGTTTTTATTTTACTAACCCAATTGGTATTTCAAAAAAAATATAAATTTTAAACGGACTTTTATCAATTGCAACATTCTATATAACAGCAAAGTTGTGAACAAAAATTAAAAAGTAACACTAAAAGTAATGGTTGTTAATGCAATCTGTTTTGAAAGAAATTATGGTTTTACATTTATTAATTTAGAGCAAGGGAAGACATCTTTTACATTTTTGTTTACTGTGTTAAAACCCTTACTCAACATACTCCATTGGTTCTGAAATAATTTTCTTAGTTCTCATCACAATCTCTGCTCAACTCTGTTACTTGAGAGGTGTTTAAGTGAACAGCCGTACTATGTGATCAATATTATGAGCCTGATTTCTAAATACAAGTTCCAGTTACGAAACCAATTTAGTTTCAACAACTGTCGTTTACAGGTCAGCTAACGCACCCGGGTCTCTTGTTCTTCGGCAAACTGAACGACTCCATCACCAACTACGAGGTGTTCGAGTTGCCAATCTTCATAGGGATGGGAGCTATCGGTGGTGTGCTCGGAGCTGTGTTTGTAGCCATCAACATGCGGATCACCACCTTCCGCATGAAGTGAGTCTTCTAATCTTGTACAAAGTCGGTATATGAGTCGTATTTTGGAGATGATGAGGTGTAGTCTGTATATGGTAATTGGTATAATGATATATGGGTACAATTGTCTGGATAGCCGAGTGGTTATAGTGCTCGCCTTCTAATCTGAAGGTCGCTGTCTCGAATCCATGCGAGATTGTTTCCAGACCCAGATGCCATTTGTCATTGGGTTATGAATTAATGATGTTTTTATATTAAACTAACAAAACTGTTGACATCAGATAGTAACAAGATCCTTTCAAATCGTAAAAAAATGTCACTGGGATAGAAACACAAAAATAATAATAATAATAATAAAAATAAAGATCCAGAACACCACATTGTAAAGTATAGTGAAAAGTTAAATTCCATCATCTAGTTATGTTTTTACTTTCACTGAATTGTGCATTATCGCAATAAATCTTCCACTTCAATTCTCTACACCCTGTCATAATTAAAGTGATATAACAGTCAATGATTTTGTGTTAGCAGAAAAATGAAAACATGGTTTCTCCTTTGTATATTTTATAATTCACTTGTACTCATTTTTTTATTCTCTGTGTTGCTTTGTTACTTTCAAACACAACTGGTTATGAAGGAAAATAAGACCACAATAATATTTGTATTTAGTAAGAAATGTATTTAGAACCAAAATTGCTTTATAACTCATATTGGTGGCAATCCAAGAAGTTTGCAGCACAAACAAGTACACATTGGATACACCAAGGCTTGAAAGTCTTTCAAATCTCAAAAAGTAAAATTAAGTTTTAACTACAATTCAAACTTTCAGTGTGTGTCAAGGCACATAATAAAACCAAATACACTAACATTGTCTTCTCATGACAATCGGTGTGAAAGCATTTTAAAAATCTTCAGAAAGACACCAATGTATCCAATGTGTACCAAGTAAATTATTTTCTTTAGTTAATTTATCTTTCACTATAACATTTTATACTCCACACTACATTTTTCAGTCGAGTTCACATGTTAAATGTTGTGTTTTCAGCGGCCAGCCGCGAAGTGTAAGTTTCCGCCTCTTCCTAACTCGCCTTATCACGCTTTTGATTTAAGTAGACAATATCTGTTGGTCTTATCTTTAACAGTGGCCTTTTCTATAAGATTTAGTCCCTTAGGTGACTTTTGACTTTTTTCTGAGTTCTTTTACCAAATTTAATGCAGTAAATATTTTGGTTTCATTCACTTATTCTGGTGCTAAAGCACAAATATTGCCAGGGTCTTATATTAGCGAATTTCCCTATAGGGAAGTAGCTATTACCGTAGGTCTCATGGTAAGACTTAGGCCCGGGGTCGATTTACTTTTTCATTTTAATGTCCCCAGAGGCCAAAAACACCATTCGTTCAAATTTTTATATATGTATATATATAGATTTATATATATATATATGTGTCCGTGAACACGATAACTTGAGTAATTTTTATCCGATTTTGATGAAATTTGGTTTGAAGGTGTAAGGCGGGATAAACTTGAATGAGTTCGCGATCCAGCATGATCGGACCATGGGAACAGGGTTTAATGGGGGGTTTTATGGGGTAAAAATTGGTTTTTCTCACTTCTTACCCTCAAAACACAAAATTTCCCAATTTTTCTCTAAACCTTCTTAAAGAGCTTAAAAAAACAAACAATTCAGTATATCAAAGTGTTTTTGTACGGTTATTGGTTACGGAGAAAACTAAAAAAATGATAAATTTAAAATTCCCATGTTATTCTTATGGAGAATATTATAAAATGTTGTAGTTTGCTTGTTTATGGATATATTTTGATCAAACTTGGCAAATTTATTTATTTTATAGTAAGCTATCAATATTTTACTAAAAACACACTACTTTATTAGTTTCCTTGTAGCAGCAAACCTAGGTACTCGTTAAACCTAATGTTATTTAAATAGATCAATTGAAAATCAATTCGGCCAAATGGAAATTCGCTAAGACGGCAGGTTTGCTGCGGCGGGGGTATTTTTCTCTTTGAACCTCTCAACTCTTATATAATTAGAACTGATGAACTGACGAATAGTTGTTAGTACTAGGTGTTTTTCAAAACTTCCAAGCAACTCTCAAAAAGTTTGGTTTGATAAATCAAATATACATACCTTAATTAGAATAATGATAAAAATTGAAGTAATGTACATTGTATACGTTCATACTTTGCGATTTTGGAATTAATTACCGTAATTAAACCCTTTATAGGGGGTTGAAAGTCCCAATCATAGTCTTTTAAGATGCTCGTAAGGCAGTGCCATAAATATTTTACCATTTTAAAATCAACCATTATGATTTAAAAATTTTAATACAAACGGTTATGGTAAAATATGTACATCTATTGCTTCAAGAGTGTGACGGTATTTGTTGATAATTTCATTTAGTCAAGCCAAAAGTCATCTCGTGCCAACCCACTCATTTTAAATATTCAAATTACTCGTACACATATAAAAATCACATACCATTTTTAGCACAGTTGAAGTAAACATTTGCGCACCAGTAAAATTGAAATTATACAAAGTAAGATTTCCCCAATAACCCATTAGAACCAGCAGTGCCCTACCTTCAATTTCAAATTGTTCTAAAGCACATATTCATATTGAATTACTTTTTGTGTAAAATATGAAACAGTTTGACATAGTTGATCCATCACAAATAATATGCTGAAATATTTGCCATTTTTACCTAGCTGAAACTGCAATTTATCTTCTATAATTGCATGTTGTAATTTCTACTGTATTTTCTATTCATCCAAACTTTGTAGTTGTTAGTACTTATGGCTTACTACAAATATTTAGCTTACACAATTACTGGTTTTGTTTAGCAATTTTCACAGTGCCTCTAAAATCACAGCTTCCATCTTTATATGGTAAATTTCGATAATTATCAAATCCAGTGTAAAGGCAATTCATGCAAAATCAGTCAATGAAATTAATAGTTTATGTGTTGGGAAAAAATTATAATATATATATATATATATATATATATATATATATGTTTGAATCTATTTACTACTATTTATTTAATACAATTTTAATTTACTCTATGTTTATTTTTATTTAACTCTTGCTCTCTGATCCTTCATGTAGAGTAACATTTTTTTTCAATTACACTAAAGTTATTAGCCTAAATCATATTTCAAGGAGTTTGAATGATCCCCCGTGAACATAACCCAATCCCGCACACAATTCATAAATACAATACTAACATTGGCAACATTATTTACATATAAGCTTTTACACATTTGACGTGTGATCATGAGGTTGGATTGCATTTTATTGATAGTTTCTGAGGTGAACGTGTGCTGTAGGTACATCAAGGTGCGCTACCTTAAGCTGTGTGAAGCGATGCTGGTGGCGTTCCTCACTGCGTCCGCTGGTGCCGCCTCTATATACTTCCTGGACGACTACTGCCATGAGGACACGGAGGAGAGCCTCAAATTCGCAGTGCAGGTGCGTCAGGTTTTGTCTTGTAAGAAGTTATTCACTTTGTACAGTTTCAAGTGGTAGTCAGTTTGATTACGCAAGGGACACAGCCAATGTTTTGTAATTTATTCTGGCTCATTTCACAGGTGTTCTGTCCGAAGGGGACGTATAACGAGTTGAGCTCCTTCTGGTTCCAGCGAGCTGAAGACACACTCCGCTCACTCTTTCACGATCCTAAAGGTGACAATTTTTGCAGACTATTCATTCTATACCATTTAATAAAAATTCTATGGGGGAGCGAGCTGGCATAGTTATGTGCTTCAATACCCAACGTCCCAGGTTAAAACCACAAATCACCAATCGCTTTGGCTGATATTGATATGATATTGACTAGCCTGAAGTAATGTGCAAAACTATTTTGGTTTGAGCTTAGTGTCTTAGAATATAAAGGATGGACACTCTCCTTCGGTCCAATCTCCACTTGATTTTTACCCATAAATATCTAAAATATTTCCCCCACACTGAGTGAGTCAGTGGCTCAGTCAGTAGCGTCGTTGACTTCGGGCCCAAGGCAGCGATGTCGTGGGTTTGGATCTTGGTCACTGCCACTGACATTTATCAGTACAGTTCACCTTTGTACTGTACCGGCTCACTCCTTGCTTTGCTGTAAACGATCCACGCACGGGCGCTTAGTCTATGTGGACGGGCAAATGCAAGGTTAAAAGAGGCCGCCAACCTCTTAAAAAAAAAAATAAATAAAAAAAAAATACTTTGAAATTTAGTTCAAACTTATCTTAGATTAATAATGCTTTTACAACTGTACATCACATTAACCTCTGTTTCCAGGGTCCTACAACGTGGTGCCGCTGATAGTGTTCTTTGTCTTGTACTTCATGATGTCAGTGGTGACGACAGGCCTGAGCGTGTCCGCAGGCGTGTTCGTGCCTGCGCTGCTCTCTGGTGCGGCCTGGGGTCGACTCATAGGCATCGGCATACAGAACTGCTTCCCAGAATCGGTGAGTGACGTTTACACCTTTCCCTTGTACTTGAAATTATATACAGGAAGAATATTTTGAATAACTCCTTTCCGAGGAAATGTTAACTCATGATATTTTGTGATTATAAATTCAATAATCCAGATTTTAATGTGATCGCATCGCAATGATGATCATATACCACGTTTGCTGTAACATGATAATGTCCCAAGACATGGTAAATTTCTCATGGGTAAAAATTAACAGATGGCCTCCACAATCCCTTCAATATCCCAAGGTTCCATCATTTAAATTTTGGCAATAAAAAGGCAATTAGAACAAGGAAAATTCCAAAACTTATGAGTTTAACATTTTTGACCTTAAATACTAAGTTCATTGCCCCTGAAGTCTGCTTCTGCTGTGATTCTTCTTGCTTCCGGCCTAAGCTCCCTAACCTTAATTAATATTACTTTAAAGAAATAGAATATTGATTGATGCATGAATACTTGGACAGAACCGGTATGGATCATACATAAACAAATGAAGTTGCTGGCCCAAATCCTATACTAATAGCATTAACATATGATTTGGACAGTTCCATTTAAGAAATAAAAATAATGTTTACTTTCCAGCAACGTCATTTGTTTATGTTTATGATCCATACCGGCTCTGTTCAAGTATTCGTGGATTGATGTTTAAATCTTGTCAAGATTTGCAGTTGGTGAAGTGGAAGGAGAAAGTTTGAATGAAATGTAAACAATGTTTAAAAATCAAATATGTTGGACATGTTTTCAATCAATGTTTATTTTGCAGAAATTCATTCATTATGGTTGTATTTACATTGTTTAGCTTGTTACCTTTGAGTACACAAGATTGCTGTGCTATTGGTTTATCGTTTACTAATTTCTTACTCTACCATTCTTCCATCATGTACAGGTCACTCCTGGGAGTCTCTGCAGTGTTTGACTCACGGTATCATCAATAAACCAATCATTTGTTGATTAATCAACTTCACTCTAGGTTGATTAATTGCCAGTGTAATGCTCGGCCTCACAGACAATGGCCACGCGTTCACTGCTTTTACTAGCTTTACCTCCTTCAGTGTTTTAGTTTTAGTGGTCATTGCATAGCTTGACATAAAGGCGAATCTGTAATGGGTACCCAAAAAGATGTTTTTGTTATGAGAAGTTTTAAAATGTAGTCAACTAAACATTGGGTACTGAAAAGTAATTTTTCTTTTAAGGTTAATGTTTAAAAACACTTGAGGCGTAAAATTTTTCTGTAAGTGGAAATAACAAAAGCGTCTGCAGATTTTTACGTTATCAGCATATAAACAATATCATTTGTGATCTATCTCCCATTGTCAAAAAATCAAACACATTTTTTATCCAGAATATCTGGATCGATATTCAATTTTTATTTTTAAATCTGGGAACAACTTGCCACCTTCCCCTAGATGTCTAACCCATAGACAACATTGTCCAAAAAATGTCAACATTGTTTAGTTAAGCACTGATAGTGTAGTTAGTGTATCATTCACCTTGTCCATTCCCAAAATTCACTGTGGATACTGAGATAGACGTTTCATTGCTCTTCCAATACCTGTTGTTGTTTAAATTTTGGTATTCCGCCCCAAGAAATTGAGGAATCAATTATCATGGTTTGGTCTTTTTTCATGACTGAATTGGCTTTTTACAGGTATTCTTACTGTATAGTATAACAAATATCACCTGATAGAACTCATGCCTTGATTGAAAAGTTTTGTTTCTTCTATAGTACAGAGTGATTGTAAGAACACAATTTGATATTAAGAAAGTAATAGTAAACATCAGTAGGCCCACACTATGGAGGAGTTTTAGGACGCAAAATAATCACAGACGAACAATATCAATGAAAAATCAATTTCAGTATCCTTAGTCTATAGCTACACTACTGTGATTTAGGTTTAGATTTTCACTTGTGTGAACTTTCTTATATATTAATATAATAATGTAAGAAACACTTTTTTGTGATCATTGATTTAACACTTCCTGGTCAGCATTCATTCTTTTAGCGAATTTCCCTATAGGGAAGTAGCTATTACCGTAGGTGGCACGGTAAGACCTAGACCCGGGACCGATTTACTTTTTCATTTTGATGTCCCCAGAGGCCAAAAACACCATTTGTTCAAATTTTTATATATTTATATATATATAGACTTGTGTGTATATATATATATAGATATACGTCCGTGAACGCGATAACTTGAGTAATTTTTGTCCGATTTTAATGAAATTTGGTTTAAAGGTGTAAAACGGGATAAACTTGAATGAGTTCGCAAACCAGCATGATCGGACCATGGGAACGGGGCTTTACGGGGGGTTTTATGGGGTAATAATTGGGTTTTCTCACTTTTGACCCTCAAAACACAAAATTTCCCAATTTCTCTTTAGACCTTTTTAAAGAGCTTAAAAAAACAAATAGTTTAGTATATAAAAGTATTTTTGTTCGATTGTTAGTAACGGAGAAAATTAAAAAAAATGTAAATTTAAAATTCCCATGTATTCTTATGGAGAATATTGTCAAATGTTGTAGTTTGCTTGTTTATGGATATATTTTGTATTTTGATCAAATTTATTTATTTTGTACTAAGCTATCAATATTTTACAAAAAAACACACTTTATTAGTTTCCTTGTAGCAGCAAACCTAGGTACTCGTTTAACTTAATGTTATTAAAATATATTTTATGGAAAATCAATTAAGACAAATGGAAATTCGCTTAGTCGGCAGGTTTGCTGCAGCGGGGGTATTATGTATATCTTGACATGTTGTCAGAGTATTACAAAACATCGGTTATTTTCATGAATAAAAATTTTTTTTTTAGTTTATGTGGGTACAAGTAAATGGTTGTTTAACCGTATATGTTAACTTTGTTAGACAGGTAAAAAAAATAAAATAGATTTACTTTTCTCTGTCATCCTAAATATGATTGATCATTTAAATTATCTCTAAAAATGGTAATATACTATTACTATTGCATTAATCTGGATGATTTAGTACAATAGTAAATTCAGTGGTAGAATTTTTGATTGTGATTTTTTATTTGTCCTTCATAACTAATTTTTTATTATGAGCAGTTCAGTCCATAGTTGGGTTATAATCTGGTAATTGTTTATTTTACATTGTTGGTTTGAGATTTAATCACCCTGTAAAATTTTTTTTTGTCCTTTTTAACCAGTTCTTGTTGGAATATATATTTTCTTTAGTTTTGACATTTACTTTCTGCTGAGTTCTCTGTGTGTTCCTACACAGTTCCACTCAGTATCCATTAATCCTTGACAGTGTTGTTGTGGTGTTGGCAGGCATGGGCGGAGCCAGCCAAGTACGCAGTGATAGGCGCGGCGGCTCATCTCGGTGGCATCTCGCGTATCTCTATCTCACTGACTGTGATGATGATTGAAGCCACGGGCAACATCACCTTCGGTCTGCCTCTCATGTTGACCCTCATCACCACCAAGTGGGTGGGAGATCTGTTCACTGAGGTAAGTAGTCACATTACTCTAGTGACTAGGAATCTCCAAACTGAAACCTATTACAGTAGAAACTCGTTAACAAGATTTGTGGGGATTAATGAATGAGACTTGTTATCAAGGTTGACTAATATATCGAGGTTTGCAATAACAAGTGATTAGGGGTTAGATAATTTCAAGGAGATTTCAAAATGCACTTCTTTTCAATGGTGACTTGTTATTAAGGGTCTTGTTATTGAGGTTCCACTGTAAGTTGAGTTTCAGTTCTCGAATCAGAATAAAATATTCATAAAATATTATCTTAAATACTATTTGTATAAAGTCTAAAACTTATAATTTATTGTCAGAATAACAGTATCATCGATCACCCAACCATGGCATCATCTGAAGGCATTTGTTATGATGACAGCAACCAAGCTACCTTGTGATTATTTCCTGCTATCACTATTATGTCGCTAGATTCCTATCTCGAAATGTCCTTAAATTATTAGAACTTAAAAGAATCATGAATTTACAGAAAATCTAAGGGACTTGACTATTTCTTTTTAGATTTCATTACATTTACTACTTGTAACAAACGGGTTGTGGTAATGTGGACAAACAGTGTAACTAAATATAAGATTCTGTTCTTGAAGTCAGCCAATCAAATTGCAAATTGAAATATTTGGACAGACACATCACTAGCAACAATCAAATACTGAATAAATCATCGTTTTAGGGTGAGAGTTGAGTGTAAAAGGTATGCTGGAAATGAGATGTACCGTACTTTGTGTAAGTAATATTGTTATCTCTCGTCTCTGCAGGGTGTGTATGAGATGCAGATCTACCTGTTGGGAGTTCCGCTGCTGCCCTCTGCTCCCCCGCCTCTTTCAGCTGACATCAAGGCTACGGAGGTGATGTCTGCCCCCGCCGTCGTCTTCCCTGCCAAGGTCCGCGTCGGACGACTAATCGACATTCTGGAGAATGTTCCCCACAACGGCTTCCCCATTGTGGACAGTGCACATACATCTAGTCAGGTGACTGATTAAACAATTATGTGGAGGGCTTGATTGAGGGGAGACTTCCAAGACTCTAGCCATAAATTCATTTTTAGAGTATTAGAGGGAACATTTGAAGTTTCAACCTATTTAACAAATAATAATGCTGAAGGATACTAATAGAAGAAGGACTAGAGGATGATAATCTCCCGACTTCGATTAGAGTGATATAAATAACATCTCCCATGTTCACTTTTGTTTCCTTTGATTCCTACCCTGGTTTTCCCAAATTATTAAAATAATATTTTAAATACCAGTTTAAATTCAGATAATTATTACTTTTCAAGAAAATAATGTTCTTAATTTTCTGGTGTTCAATATCACCTGAGTTAAAATTAGAATGCATGAATATTTATTTATTCCTAAACAATATTTAAGATTCAATCATATATTTTACTTTTTTAAATCAATCAGCCAAATTCAAACCGCTGTGAGTGTAGATAATTGTTTTTTTTTCAAAGTTCCTAATTACCATTAACCAGTTTTTTTTTTCTGGGGGAGTAGGTCTTTATTGTTATTATTGCATAACAGGGAGTGCTCAAGTCAGTCGGACGACTGAAAGGACTCATTCTTCGCTCTCAGCTAATCGTCCTGTTGCGCAACAAATGTTTCAACGAGACTCCGCCATCGACCAGTGACGAGCTGCGGAAGAAACTACGGATGTTCCGAGATGCTTACGCACAGAACCAGCATGTTGAGGTGAGTACAAAAACCCTCTGTGAAAACCTTCAAATTAAAACTTTGTTTAATTTTACTGAATTTTCCAATGTCATCACCTAAGTTTGGGACTTTTGACGGTGTTGTTTATTTGGATTCCCTTATAATGCAAAAACTCTTTTTAAAATTAGAGTTTGAGCAAGAGGTATGTATAAAAGCCGTCATGATTATGGTAAGTGGTTTTGACACCACAACAATTATGTCAACTCATTCTTGTAAGTTACATTGTAAAAACAAAATGCTAACAAACAAAATATTGCATTAAAGTAGAACTCCTAATATCGTTCCTCGGAAATTCCAGTCCTCGGTTTATCTGGTCATTTCCCGGGATCGATACAAAAAATATTTTCCTCAGCTGTACACGTAGTCTCCATGATTTGAGCGTTCTCACGGTTTATCTTTTTACTGTTAATATACATTTTTAGCAGGATGACTACTCGGATATCCAAATTATCGTTTTAGTAATAGGTTGGTTTATCCGGTCTAAATGTTATCCGACCAGGAGCTCGTCATAACTCATACCCTCCATTAAAACTATAACGCCTAAAACATTCTTTTTATGTTGGGCCTAGCATTTATTTCCATTTGTGCATGTATAGTTTTATTAGTATCAGTTGCATCATAATTCAGTTTAACAAACTCTAACAGCACCGATTGATACACCAATTTTATTCTAAACCTTTTACAAAAAGAGATTTCTCCACGATTAAACCAAATCATTATGAATCATAACAATAAAAGAAACTTTAACAACATTAAGTTTATTCTGTTGGTGTGTTATTAATTTCCCAAACATGAAGTTGTACGCTTGAGAAATCAGCCAGGCTTATCATCTCTATAAACAGTCTTAATTAATCAGGTGAACTACAGTAGTTAATAGTATGACTATGTTTTTGTGAGGATTTCAAGCTCCCCCTAACATTTTTCCTAGTATTAGTTTCCATGTTAACTAATTTGATGTTTCCAGCAAGGATATCGGGGCTAGACCCTATCATTGTGCAGCCGAACCAGCATGAACTATTTGTGCTAATTTTTGCTGTTTTTAAAGCTGCATGGTGGATGGATTGACGTAAGAACTTTTTAATATTTTTCGATACAGTTTATTTTTAAGCAATTTTAGTGTAGAATAGACATTTAACCACTGATGCCATAGGTATTTGTTTTGATTTATTATTGTACAGTATATTATATTTACAATCTCACAAAACTTCCTTAATTTTGAGTATGTGATTACTAAAATTCAAAATACCGGCTTATATTTTAGAGATTTATAATCATAATCGCTTCTTAAGCCTTAACTTTAGCTGGGGAGAAGTTGACGTTCCATTTCCAAGTTAGGGTTTAACCAGTTAAAAAGAACATTCATTAAAAAACTTCAAAACCCTTAAATTTATGGAAAAATTGTTTGAAAAATCTTTAAAACCCATAAATTTTTTTTGTATTTACCTACATAAATTCTCATTTATTGTGATTTATTTATTTTTTATTACAACCAGGTGTTAGGAAGGACACCAGTGATCCGTGAAAATCATTATTTTTGTCATTTTTTGCTGAAAATGTAAAAATCAGTACTGTATAATAATTTCAATATAGCTTGTTTTTAATTCCACCAATTTTTTTGCGATGTGTGGTGTCTGCAAAAGTACATTTTTATATGTTTTGTTGAATTTTTTTTCCTGAAATCAATTTAAATTATGAACACGCTTCTGAAATCAATTTACATTATGAACTATTGCGATATGATGACTTGGAATGTTTGTATATAGTTCTACATCTACTATACTACTGTAGTCTATCGTAGTTTAACTTTTAGTAAACTTATTCTCTCACAGAACGACGTGAAGATCTCGGAGGCGGAGTATGACCTGATGCTGGACCTTCGACCCTACATGAACCCTTCGCCCTACACTGTCAAATATGTGAGTAAACTCAATTACAATTTGTATTTTTTATTGTTCATCACAAAAGCCTACATTTCTAAATCACCCCGTACAAAAAATAGCTATATCGATAACAGCTGATATGAAAGAAAGTAATTGTTTCCCAAGCTCTGATTTAGATCAAGGGAAAACAATCAGCTGATCTTCCCTTTATCTAAATTAACTTTCCCTTTCCCTCAATCAGTTCTCCATTTGCCCACTGTGCACGCTAGTGTTTGTTTACAATTTATTTCTATAATTGAAATCAGCTGTTTTTACTGTTTATCAATACAAATATGAATATAAATTGACATATGCTAGTTTTGCTGTGTTTAAGCATTTGTTTTTTTTCGTTCCTCTATCGCAGCAGTCGCTACTGCCATTTTTGTGACATAAAATGTTATACATCTTCACTTTCTTTGGATCACCACAAGGATAAGTGGGTATTAAAGGGGATTGAGGTTTTAAATGGCATTTAACATTTAAGTAACTTCTTTCATGTTTCAGAACGCCTCACTGCCGAGAATATTCCGATTGTTTCGAGGCCTAGGGCTGAGACATATCGTCGTAGTGAATGATATTAATGAGGTCAGTATATCTTACCTACATTAGTACATTTCAGAACCAAGTATTTTGGTGTATTTTAGTAGACTATAAGTAAAATTATATTTAATAAATATTTCAAAGTACAATGGTAATAACAATTTTATGTCTTCAATTCCCCCTGTAATTCTCATTCGCTCATTGATTGTCAGAGCTATCGTTATAAAATGTGTATAATTGATCTAAAAAAATGTTAGATTCCCTTCGACACACTAGGGACTAGGGTGCATTTAAGGTGAAGATGTGTGAATGATGAGTTTACTTTACGATGAATGAAACGACATATTTGATTATTATCAGCCAGTTTGTTTGCCAGGACCACTTATTATAGCCAAATGATCAAAAACAGCTGGGTCCAATTTTCAACCATCAAAAAGCTGCTGACCTCTCGTGATCAAACTGGCAACCTTCTGGTTATTATGTGAGCCCTAGTGGTGGGTCTTATATAACGTAATAGGATAAATAACATTATTACTGAAACAAGTTAAATAACGCTGACCGTGTAATCCTGTTAATTAATAGTAAACGCTTGGCAATAGTTTGCTGAGAATAATATTATTTTTATAACGTCGTAGTACCCGAACAAGTGAAATAACGCTGGAAGGGGAAATAATAGGTGAGAAAAATAATAGTGTTATTTCACCTATTACCAAAGAAACTAAGGAACGTTCCTGACTATTACTGAAAAGTAACGGTATTTCCCATCTCTAGTGAGCACTATATAAGGTTTGACTCGTGAGTGGCATCCCAGTAGTGAATTGTATAAACTGTGTGTTTGTTTTGCAGGTGGTAGGCATGGTGACCAGGAAGGACCTGGCCAGGTACCGTACATGGCGCCACGCTGGCACCATGGGCCTCAAGGAGCTTAGAGTAAGAGTATGACAAGGTATGTTGTTCAATTCCTAGAATTTTCAATCTCAAATTTGATTATGAATTTTTAATAGTTGATTCTTAAATTCAAATGTAGTTTGTGTTTGCTAGAATATTCAGCGAAAACCAATCCTCACTGCCGTTTACTCTATTTTGAATCAGCCGTAAAACTTATGATTAATTTTAAAACAGTTTCCACTAAAATCTTAAAATTGTTATACAAATTTGCGTTTTTGAACATGAGCGGCCGTTGTCACTGTCAGTCAACTAAATGACAACTACAGGACCAGGGAAGATGAGCAATTAAACACTGATTTTGCTGGCCATGTTTTGGCAGAAAAGGCACAAGTTAATTATAGTTGAATCTCAGATCAGACCCAAATGTTAGTAGTTGACTGGGAAGAAGTAGACATCCTAAATAGCCAACGGATTGCTGATACCGTTTATTTCTTTTACGCAAGAAGCACCTTTATCTCCACTGTATGTTTCAGGGCTGCACATCGGAGCTCCTCCCGACAACTGTTTGTCGTTCAGGGAACGACGTCGGGCTTCGTTCAGTCTGGATAGCCAACAGTCGGACGAGATGTAGCTCCGAGTGGATCCGTAGCTCAGCAATACAAGCAGTAGACGGTAGACGACGCGCGGCTCCCATAGAACAGTGACCTGCCAGTCAAATTATCTTTTTTTGCAGTCCTTTTTTTGCTTCTAGCAATCAGCCATTGCTTCTTTTTAATGCAAAGTAATTTTTTTTTAACCTACACAATCTGCATTCAAAATGTTCAGAATGTTTCTATCGCAAAATAATGGATAAACAAACTAAATATGGAGCTGTTACAGATAAGTTAGTTATGGTAAATTAGTATTACCACATTGGAAAGAGGTTCCTTTTATTTGTTGCCATCTAAAGATAAAAAGATTAATCTTTAGTTTAACCTTTTTCTCAAATTACGCTCTTACCCGGAAATAGCTCCTTAGTTTAAGAATAAAATATATTTTTGTTGGTCTAGAACTTGGTCTGACGTTTCATAAAACCCAAATGTTATGAACATTAGCTTTGTTTAGAGCTGTTAAATATATTTTTTAGTTTATGTTATTTTGAACAGCTGTTCAGCCACATTCCTTGGCAACTGAGTGGTTATTCTCCATCTGTGTTTGGTCGGACCCCAGCTCTGAGTATCCACCCAGTGACAGACAAACGGTTGTAAAGTAATCTAGATGAATTAGATATCGCTATTTCAGATCTACAGGGTTTACAGTTTTAACTAATTCAGTTCTACCAAGTTTTGTGCTCAAATTTTGCTTGTTAAAGTCTGTTTTGGTAAGTTTTGTTAGCTTCGATTTCACACTTAAACTTTGTTCTTCATGATCCTATGTAGACTTTTAATCGCTTACATGACAAGTTCAACAAGGCGGGGGTCGTGAGTCTTGCGAATGTCAAGCCACTTGTCATCACTGCCTGAGCTCGTGGCTGAGCAGGAGGTCTAACTGATACCTACGATGTTAACAGTAGCGCCAACTGTCAGAATATTGGTTCAGCTGAAAACTTATTTACTTATTGCCTATTTAGAGCTTAATAATACTGATTTTAAAATACTTTATGATAGAGAAAAAAAAACATTCAGTAACTGTTATTCTTAAAAATTCTTTAAAATGGATAAAAAAATCCATCATCAAAATAAAAGTGGCATGTCCGCTCAGCCACGCAGCGTCTTGACTCGTCTTTCCGGATAGTGAGAGGTCACCCGCCTCGCCACGGAAAACATCAATTGAATTGAAATACTCCTATTCTCCTCTTTTTTGTAATCATACAAAATTCAAATGTTTTGTTTTACCGCAAGTGAATCATACAATGAAGACTTACTTATTTTGAGTACTAGAAAGTAAATAATGTTCACAATTTCTACATCTTACGGGAGGAAGAAAATTATTTAGTGAGATGATGATGTAAAAAGAGGATCTAAAATATTATGGTTAATTCAACTACTCTTAAAATTGGATGTTTCTGTCTGTGTTTAAAACTTTACATCCTGTTTTGAAACATTTCAATCGATGAAACATAACCGATGATATTGGCGAGTCGGGTTGAGATTAAATCATAAACATTGTATATAAGAAAACATATAGTTACCGTACATGTACTTAGTCGCCCAAAGAGGGTACTTGACCCCACTTACGCTTCTGTTAAAACTGATAGATATTGACTGTCTGTGAATGTGAAGTTTATTTACGATGTTGGATGTTTTTATGTTCCAAAGTTATCGTGTCAGAGGTACTATGGTGTTAAACACTACCTGTAAACTTGTTGAGTATTGTGTTATTTAATGAAAGTCTGTTGATTTTGTGTTAGTTTATGAAGAATTACTGCTAAATTATATTGTATTCAATTATTACTGTAGGCATTCAATGTAAAAGTCTCACATTTTTATTATAACGTTAATTTTTATTTATCTTTTTTTAATATTCTCTCAATAGGAAAAATCCATCAATTTGTTTTATTTTAACTATGTAAATTACGTTTACAAAAATCTTTTAATAAATATTAACTTCAAAGCTGATGAGAAACAAAGCTTTTAAAATGTGCTGTTCCAATATATTACGTTGCAGTCTTAAATCTTCATAAACTTAAGTTACCACTCTATATTTTATTGTAAGAAGTTGTTACTTTAAAAGTTACTCTAAGAATATAAGTTGTTTCTGTTGGAAATGTGTTTCTTATATGAAATGTTATCGGTTAGTTTTAAGAATCTAGAGAACTATGTAATTGTTATCTATTCGTATAGTAGGCTAGCGAATTTTATTTTTTTGTGCTCACATTGATTTCTAGATGAAGAATCTTCATGTACAGTTGTAGTGATGGATATATAAATATCACATGTATTAAACTATTATATAAAAGTATTTTGAAGGACTTTATGTACGTAGAGCTGTTAATAACTCTTAGAAAAGTAAATTTTAAGTATTTTTTTCAAGTGGGATCACTGGCTTGGTCAGAGCACATTGGACCAGGGCTGCCAACCGTGATGGATAGAATCATTTCAGACCATTCCATTAACAATAAATAAGCAGACAGTTTGGTTAACAAGGTCGGCAACCCTGGTCGTAGATCCCGCCAACTGACTGTGCCTATAGCTAGTGTTTTTTTTGAGGACCAACCAGCCTTCTATTGCGGCAAGCTCACTGTTTATAAATTTTGTTTCGATCGTTATGTTTTAGGTCCCATTTGTTACAAAATGTTTTTCTTGCGATCGTTAAAAAGCAGGTTGTGATCGGGTTACACTCGCCAGCTGTGATTAATCTTGAAAGATTATTTTGATTCTATTGACGTTGTAACTGTAGGGAGGTAAATTAAAAGCTTCGAATTTAGCATGAAAAATCTTGCATAAAGACATAAATGTGCCAAAGTTCATTTTCAAGTGTTTTTATTATTAGTCAATACTTAACGGTGATAACATATTTGATGAGCCTAAATAATTTTTGACGTATGCGAGTTTCGATTGCAACAAAGACATCGTCATTTTTAGATGTTTAGTTTTAAATTTCCCTTTAGAATCATTTTGCCTTTTGTATAAATCAAAAGTTGTGTTGTGCTCAATTTTAATATTTAGTTAAACATTAGTGACTGTAAATGTTATTAATGTACCTTAGCATCGCATGAAAGATAAGGTGATCTATTGTTTGAATTAATTAGTTCAGGAAGCTATAGCGTTTAATTGTTACCTTTCAATGTCGTCATTTTGAGAATGTAAGAAGCATTGTTCTTTTATAAGTTTCATGGTTCAAAGATGCTCGGCCTTAATATATTTTGTCTTTAAATGGGTTTTTCTCAAGTTTTTTACAGATTTTTGCTTATTGATCGCTAATAAGTAAAGAGCTGCAATTTAATTAATTGCTTTTACTAAAAATGTAACTGTAATAGTACCTCATAAGATCTTAAATTCTCTTGACTTGTTTTTTACATTTTTCCTAAAAAAGAGGCCTTCCACTTCATTTGATTTCAATGATGAAAAACATTTTAAAATCTTATTCATCTTGTGATACTCCTCTTCCATTAAACCGTGTCACTTTGGTATGCTCTTTCCTCTCTTCCAGTACGATATTGTGCCAATATGTACCTTGTTTTCCAGCAGGTAATTCTTCAGAACTAAGTTACTCAGAAAAACTTTAACGTAATTTGCATAATGTTTCTGTACAAATTGGAGTATGAATTTTCTTTTGCAATTTTAAATTAATTTTTAGTAGATTCTCCATTGTTTGACATCCTTCAGTAAGACACATATATAACAACTCGACAGATATTTCCATTAATGCATGAAGTGAACACTACAATGCACGGTGAATATGTGAATGCTATAGCTGGCAGTGCCGGCCTAACATGGAGGAAAAGTGTGCTGAAAAAATCAAAATGTGTTGTGAAACATATTTTCATTCAAATCAATTTTCCCTAAATTTAATAACAATAAGATTTTACGATATTACATCTGTAATTTAAAAACTTCTGCAATTCTCTACTTTCTACTTGTTACATCCTAATAACTAAGGGCCTAAAATTTGCAAAGAAAATAACCCAAGATGCAGAAATGTGTCTTTTTTGTAGCATGTTCTTATTTTTTCAGTTACTGAATGATTACCGGCTAGATATTTTAGTTTAGGTGAAGATTGCACTTTAGTTACTCTAGTCGCACCTCCCTTACTACCAAATCTTACTAACTTTCCTCATTTGCACCTTCAGTCTTCCAGTTTTAGTGAGTTAAAAGTATAATTTTAACTACATAGTATTAATCTATATGATATATATTTTAAATAGGCTAATATATTATGCTGTAGAAGTATTTTTCTGCTTCAAAACTTTAGAAAATATATTAACACCGCAAGCTTCTTTGACTTGGTAACCAAATAATTTGTATGTTTTTGTAATGTGTAACTGAGATCGATTTAGGTTTGCAAAGACGTTTGTTCTTGATTTGTTAGAAATGATTTAGGTTTTAAATTTCATAGTAAATGTATTCAGATTTTTTTTCTCAAAGTACCATACTCCATTTCAGTGTTCAAACTGTGTTTTTTTTTTTGTTTTTTTTTAATTATTTGTGTCATGTTTATTCATACATTTTTTCTATCTAACTATACGACCTTGGCTATTACTTGAAATTAAACAATTTCAACAACTGTGTAAGCCAAAAAGATCACAGTTACACACAATAAGTTAAGTTTAGTCTAGATGTAGATTAAGTTTCGGAAGTTCGGTGGAAGTTACAGGCCTAATATTCTCGTACACTGATTTTGTTGTTATTTTTTTATATAAGATAAAATTTTACAAAAAAATTGTGAGGGAGTGAATGCAACGCCTTTGGGCTATTGTTGAATATTGTGATCATTTTTCTGTGTTACCATAATATATTCAATGTCGCTAGCGTAAGACGCGGTACCTAGGGATTTTTCGCTGTTAGATTAGGTTAGGTGCACAAATCGTTCCATTTTAACGTTAAGGTTATCGACGTTCATTTTCCTAAGCACTTTCTGTTCAAGGCTACTCTAGTGAAATCACATAAGTTTACAATGTATTTTTTCTATTTTTAAAATTTATTCAATGGTTGATTGAAGAGTATTTAGGTGATTAGTCCAAACATGTCTTTTCTTACTGAACGAAGATTAAGTACCCGTGTAGATTTCTCACTATACTTTAACTTAATATAATAGGCTCAAATTGGATGAAAAAATTAAATAATATGTATGGAATAAATTATTATCACAAAAAATATAAACACATGTTTGGACTCAGATAAGTATCGCAAAGGCAATGGCCTAGCCTCGTGCCAAAATTAGTTTTACTGCAATTTTTCTCTATAGTGGTATCTATCTCGGCTTATGAGACTTTAGTGCTAAGTTTTCCAGATTTATTGGCTTCAATTATTCTAGTCTTAAATTCTCTGATTTTTTAGCTTCAGACTAATTTTAAATGTTAGGGGTAGTGTCTAGGGTAGCTTTACTGTTAGCGGTAGAGGTAGGGATAAAAGTTAAACACGGTCGATTGATTAAATCTCAAAGTAACTTTTCCCCTCGAGTCGTTAATATAAAGGCATAAACTTCAACTTAAACAATGTATGAAATTAGGAATGTGTTCAAAATTTCATTTGTACGATTTTACACGCTTTTATGATGTTTTTAAACAAGTTTGTATTTTATTGACGCTTTTAAAATTTTACTGTAGTTATTTTTAGTATGATTAATTTTTATATACAGAATTCTGTACATAAATGATTTAATTGGTTTTATTGTTTTGCAAGGAACTGTTTTATGTGTAAGTTTCATACTCAATGTTTTATAAACTCTACCAAACCAACATGTTGATGGCAAAGCAGATCTCTCTAAATTTCTGTCCCGGTACTCTGTTCAAATATACAGGCTCTACTTGATGTTACAAAATGTGTGTGTATACCTTTACAAGATTCAATGTAGGTCCTGATTCACGAAATAAAATTATACAAAAATACAGTCAGTATGACATATTTATTATTTAAATTTAATAGTTCTAGCAATGCATCAAAGTACAAAACTAAAATAAGCTTATAGTGTAGCTAAAATGTTTAGTTTCTGTCGGACCACTCTTTATTGGACAACATAATGAGGAAAAGTAGAGATGAGTGTATGTATGGTTAAGGAGGGAGGAGATAAAAGAAGATCATCAGGGAAGGAATTATAAAAACTAAAGAATTCGTACTAATGTTGTTCAGTGACCTTATGGTTCAGAATGGCTATTATCAAAAGCAAGGTATTTTTTTTGTAATGAATGAGTTTTAAATGCTACATTATTAACAAAACCGCTTAAGGATATCTTTTCATCTTTTAACTAGCTTTGGATATCAACATACGTAATTGAGTAAATCTAACCACAATACTTCAGTATCAACTAAGTACTGTATGTTCAAATACGATATTTGTTTTCTGGCTGCTACAGCAGAAGAAGTTGTAACTTTAATGTGATAGTAAATTGAGTGATTCAGCAATTTAAATCGTAGAATAATGAAATTATATTGTTCAACCGATGAAAGTTTAATATATTATCTAAGTTGCCTACTATCTAGTTGTAATTACTCAGTTTCCGTTACCGGGGAAGCAATAATGTCGTCAATGATGTAACTCGAGGTAAAGCAATACTCGGGATGTGACGGCTCACGTAAACTTTTGTCAATTTTCAGTTTAGGACAATTACTGTACAATAAATCTGTGAGTTAGTTCACTAGTTAGGGAGCGATTGTTGATCCTGTGCCATGGCGCAGAATAAATCTGTCTTTCCAAAACTACTTGTCACTTAATTTTTACCTCCTACAATCCTGTCAAAGCTGTTGATGTAATTTACCCATGTTACCCTCACAGTGAAGAATGAACTACTATAGACATCCCAGAAACAAAAGAACCCTGGGCCATTTCGAGCCATGCATGTTTGAAGGGTAGCCTTTCCTACCGGCGCGAACCACGTGATCTTTTCGTTTCTGGGCAGGTTGTTTTGTTCTTGGGATGTCTGAAGTAGCAAATACCAGTCACATATAGTAGTTCACGATTCTTGTGGCACCACCTTCAGTTTGAGACTCCAGGCCTGAAGGACTTTATGTTCCCTGTTGACATATTTTGGTGGTGGTTTGTTACAAACCTAGCAACCTAGTAACACAACAAATACTAGGATATGTACATCTTGTATAATTATTTTTGTGTTTGCACGGTTGCAGCTGAAATTGTTGCCCCATTACTCGGTCATTCTACTGTCATAGACAAATAGAATAAATATAAATATAAACAGTCAGCTGTGCTGCGGTTAGCATACGTTCTGGCGTCCACCGCTAGGTTTTCCGTGTAGTTATGGCGCACACCGCTGCAGCGTCTGCTGGTCACATACGGATCCTGCGCTCCTCGCCTGCAGCGGTACACGGCACTCCTAGTGGTGGGCGTCGGAACCTTCCTTTGACAGTCTATATTTATTCTATTTGTCTATTGCTACTGTATAATTTTTTTTTTAAGTTTAGATAAGAAAAATTAATAAATTCTTGGTTATTAAAATTTTTTAAATTGTCTTATATAAGCAAATAAATTGACGAAAGCCCAAAGAGATTTTTGACTAAAAAAGGTATATTAGTCTAGGCAATAAAAAGTTATAGAGGGAAATGTTTCAAAAACAATGTATATAACCTGTAACGGTATAGTTAGGAGGTGAACATATCAAAGAGGATGGAGGATTGGCTTGAAGGTACAATTCTGGTTTTTGGCTTATATCTCAAAAGCATGCATCCCATCGAAATCATTGTCCTGTACAAAATGAAAGGCTATTAAGAATACTCTGGTATAATAAGTTTACAAGTTGTGAAACAAGTATATTAGTGATCATAAGTTTCGTTCTGTAACATTTTTTATAAAAATCTTAATACGTCAACATCATCATAAAAATTTGTTGATTTAGAAAAGTGCATTTTTCCCTCTAGTTTTGGTCTTTGTTAACTCCTAAACTGTGCACCCAAGAAAGAAATGAATGCTGCCAAGGTTTGTATAAAATCAGAAATTCCCTTAAATCTCAATGATATAATGACTTTACTAGACTAGGCATACTTATTTCCGTTCAGTTCAGTTTGTTTCCAAAGCTAATTAACCTTTAGTGCAAAAAAAAAATAATGTTCATCATACTACTGCAAAAAACGGTCGTTTTTAATATAGGTATGCGTTGTGTGTCTAAAGCAGCTTAGTTCTCTCTCTAGAGAGTAAAATGCATTTTTAGTCCCTAGGGAGTAAAGCATTGTCTATTACTGTATTAACTCACTATTTGACGAAAAATATACACGGGTGTGGCAGCTAACACAGAGTTTAGTACATATCTGACCTCTTCACCAAATGGGAGCAGTAAGGACGAACCGCATCAAGTGGGATCATAGCTTATTTATTAATTTTCCTTAAATTAGAACACATTAAATTAGAAAAACATTAAATTAAGGATGTACGAAAGATTGAATTTGGAACCTGGCAATGGGAACGAAATATATGTCAAACATATACAATATTAAAATTTATGTTCTGATATCCGTGAATACGAGTACGAGCATGATACCTCGTGCAAGGCATGCTAAGAGGGGAACGCGCCAAGGCGCCACCACGTCAACCCGCCACCACGTCAACCCGCCATCAAAAAGAAGAAGAAGTTTGAGGTGGCAGGTTGACGTGGTGGCTCGTTGTCGGGGTGGCACGTTGACTCTAGCGTGCACGACAACCCGCCACCTCGGAAAAACGTGTGGTGGTGGGTTGTCGTGGTGGCACGTTGTCCTGGTGGTGCTTAGACGTGTTCATACACGTCAACCAGCCACCTCTTTAGTGTGGTGGCGGGTTGACGTGGTGGCTGGTTGACGTCTACGTGTGAGGTGGCGGGTTGACGACATTGAACATTGAGCGTACACGACAACCCGCCACCTCATAAAATAGTGATGGTGGGTTGACGTGGTGGCACGTTGTCGCTTACATGCGAGGTGGCGGGTTGACGAGAGTTAACATGGGGTGTACACGACAACCCGCCATCTTTGTAGGCAAAGCCGCTGTTGTCTGTGTATTATAAAATGCATCACTTTTTGCAGTTTACCTGGACATGTGTTATCTAGTTTACTGTGAAGTTAACTATACATTAGTTATTGTTAATTCATTAATGATTGTTAATTCATTATTGTTAATACATTTTTAGTTGAAGTTAAAGTAATATATTATTGTTATTTATTCTAATAGTTTATTTATTATTGTTACTGTTGAATTTTTACAGACATTTGTGTCAATGTTGTATTTTTTTTATAATTACTCAAGAGACAATTAAGAACTCATAAAACTGCATGCTACTGTTTCAAACTGACAAAACTGTATGGTAAATAAGAAACAATATTTTTAGTGCAGACAAACCATTTGTGGTTTTTGCACTTTTGTATCCTATGTATTGGTAATTATTGTGTAAATAAATTTCTTGATTGATTGAAAAAAAAAATAATTTTCGAATCGTTAGATCTGCCATAGAAATAAAGTACACGCATCCACGCAAGACAACTTTTCCTTTTAATCAACGGTTATTGTTTATAAGAATTTTAAGATAAACTCAATACAAATTAACGATTAAGGGTCATTCTAGAATTAAAATAAAAATATTAATTATGTTTTCGCATATTTTCATTGAAGACAAAAACATGAAACTTAATTTTGAAAAATAAGATATTAGTTTCTTATGATTTTTTGTAGGTGCACACCTGGTATAATACCCATACTTATTTTCTTTTTCAGCATTATGACAATGCATTACAAAATAAGTTACCTAAAAACTTCATTTATTAATTGTAATTCACGTGTGTATGGCCTAAACAAAAATGATGAAAATGTATTGTTCGGTTATACTTTCTCTTAAAACCGTATTGTGGTGAAAATAATAATACATTCAACCAAAAACATAAAACAAAATATACATCGTTGATATAGAGTACAACAGACTAAAATGTGCTTTGTGTGGACTAGCGCGCACCTGTTTTTCTATTTAGAAGAATTTGAAAAAGGATACAGAACTAGACTCGACCCAACCGTGTAATGTACTTTGACCTCTGAGTCAAGGGTATTGCCAAGAGAAGTTCATACCAGACAGATATATTCCAAAAAACTCATTAGGAGATATCTTAAACAAAGATTTTTATTGCATTTTTGATGTTCTGCTTGAAATTCCATTTCATGCTTCAGGAAATACCTTACCGTTACTTAGTTATTATTCGGAGGCCACTTGTTTTAGAGGGATTTTTTTACCTAAGACCAAAAATAACTACATAATTAGAAAGAACCTATTTTAATTACCTTACTGTCCAGATTTGACATGATTGCAATTAGCGGGTTTTGAGTTCTGCCTCCCAGAAGGCAGCGGTGTCGGCGAAGATTTAGTTGAATGCGTCACCGCCCCTAGCTGCCACATGAACTCCGTCGAGTATGTATACTGCGCACTGTGGGCAGTATACACAATGGGCACAATGGGTTCGGGGCATTCCACTAATGTACTGTTGAAAATTGTATGAAATAATTGATTCATATTTAACAAAAGTATCTTTACTAACTAAACTAAATCTGTGTACAACTTGTAAACAAATCAAATCTAAACAATAACAATAATCACATAATAATGACATCTATCTATCCATCTATCATTTACTATGTCTATCTATACTATTATAAAGAAGAGGTTGTGTAGTGTGTTTGTATGAGATAAACAAGCTACTGAACCGATTTGACTCAAATTGGACAAAAATCAAGCTACTGCTCCGAGGATACATATAGAACTACCCCTTCGATATTGAACTAGTACTCTGCTCCACGGGCTTTCAAAATTCTGAGGTGAGGGATTTTGAACTTATTTAATACGCAAGCAGGTTTTTTGTGACATTTACTCCTCCGATACTACTAAACGATTGGCACGTTTTTGGTGTCATTTGGAAAGTGCGTAAAGTGAAGTTGTACAGGAAACTTTCTTTTTAGGGAAATAATTAGGGTGAGGCCCTGGGGCCCTTTAAAGTTTCGTATTTCTCCATAAGATTCATGGGAAACAGACATTGTTATGTAACTCCAGCTGTTTTCAGAAATTAAAAGTGAGAAGAAGAACATATGTTAATTGTAAACATTATGTAATTTACACAATATGTGGTAGGTTTATTTATGCCATTGATTATTGAAATGAAGAAAAATTCTATAACCATAAGTTGTGAAAATTATGTTATTGATATATTTTAATGTTAACAGTAGGGCAATTACAATGTAGGGCATACTTTTTTGTAAAATTTGGTGGCTATTTGTTTAAAAATTCAATATACTTAACAAGTGTTTGGATTAGGCAGTATGGACGTTTGGCACATCTTCCCGTTGCGAATATTTTTATCAACAGCAGAATATTGGTTTGGTTCTCTTTTGCGATTACTACGTGAAATGAAAACAGTATTTAGGTTGGAAATTAAAGGACTACGGGAAAGTGAACTGACCTGAGTGATACGACACCCCAATAACTGGAATGGACTTTGATGAGAAAGAAAAATGTAAGAAATTTAGAAACGTGCGAGGGGATTAACGGGACACCCCTGTATTCTGTCCCTTATATTTCCTTTAAAGTTCCCGCTGTACTGACTGGTATGGGTTATGGGATTGTTTATATTAAACAATAGGCCAAATACTTTGCACCAGGTTTCCACGTCTACATTTTACAACATGCATTTCGTTCACTTTCCCAGTAATAACTCATGGTTCGTTCCTGATTTAGCA